GATGATTCATTTACATTTTATTACCAACTCAACTATTTTTCAGTAATGTAATGTAACACATAGTTAACAGCACTACCTGTTTAAATCGCACGAGAAGCAAAGCTTTCTTTTCTGAAACACTCCTTTCTGAGTCCTTTTGTTCTTTCCTGCAGTAATTGCAAATACCCCTGTTGGTCCTTGAAAGCAGCACTAGCCGCCGATGAGCATGACGCATGCTGGCGTCATGCTCATCATCATACTATTTTTGTCCTCCGGTTGCCGCCATTGCTGCCGTATTATGAACTAGTGATGGGATTTCCAGCTCTTTTTAGAGAACCGGCTCTTTCGGCTCCAAACCGGCTCTTCGGGTTGTTTTGTTGCTTTAATTAATTTATTATTAACAATAATATAAAATATAAAATTATGCACAAAAGGAATTACTAATGTAAAAAAAAAGGGGTTTTATTTATATATGTTTATATATAAATATATGCGGTTGCCCCTAGAGACAAAGCACGTACAAATTCCAAAACACATTTCTAGCGTTAACTTAACTTCCAAAACAGAGCTCCTTAGATCACTTAAATTACACAATTGAAAGCATATGTGTATTGTTTTTGTATTTATACACAAGCACTCATATATATTCAAATGATAAAAAAAAAATGTTCATTTACCTGTTACTACCACACATCAAATACGGTCGTTGGTACTTACTGGCTTGTGTAGCCACTAGGTAACAAAAGCTCAACACTGCGCCCAGCATCCTGGAGCACTTCTGTTGTGTTTTGTACGTGTTTTGGAGCTTTTACGTGTTTTGGAGTTTTTACGTGTTTTGAAGTTTGTACATGCTTTGTCTCTAGGGGCCACAGTAAATATACTTTTATTTATTCACTCCACATAAAATGTAATAAATAAATCATATAATACAAAAACCAACTATTCACATTTCAATATTTAAATTTTCAGCTTTTTCCTTTTAAACAAATTTAAATTGAAACAACACAAAACACTGCAAACCACAACACAATTAAATATAAATTATAATATGAAAACTAAAAGAACATGCATATTCTCTGTCATATGGACCTGCATGAATAAACTTTCTGAATCCTTTATAATCTGCAACTGAAAATAGTTGTGGATGATTACTATACCTTTCTAATGTGACGTTGTTGTCCCGGCTCTCTTTCTCTGTCTCTCCCTCCTGCTCTGTTCCTGTGCTACTGAGTGTAACTACCGCCCCTCCCCCTTTTGCCCAGCGCAAAGCACAAGGCTGCGTGCGGAGTGAAGCGGAAAAAAAGTGCGAGAGAGAGGGTGAGAGAAAGAAAAAAAAACAACCCACGGCTCGCGATAAGGAGTCGGTTCGCGTCATTCACTTCAAAGATCCGGCTCTAAGAGCCATTTCGTTCGCGACCGACACATCACTACTACAGAGGCATTATGTTTCTTATAATCTATTCAGTAATCATTACTAAGAAATTCCAGCATGACCTGAAATGAGTGTTTGAGACCATAAACTCATGGGCCGCTGCGGCCAACGTGGTTCAAAAGGCATAGTTGTTACTTTGTAGGTTTCTGATTTGGGTCGCACTTTCCACTACATCTGGGAGAGTGTGTAGGTTTTCAGTCATCCAGGTTATAGGATGACTTGAGAACCTACACCTAGTCTTAAGTGCTTAAGAAGAAGTCCAGTCGCTATTTTATCAAGCTCTTGAGACTACTGGGAGTTCGCAGAGAAGTCAGCATCTTACATGCAAATTACCATGGCAGTCTGCTGTGACAAAAGCAACTGCAAGGAGGTTTTTATCAACCAGTTGGGAAATACACATTTTTCCTAGGGATTGATTTTCCATTGACTGCCAACAACCACTTGCCAACTGGTTGGGAAATAGATATTTTTACTCACAACCAGTGGTTGCAAGTTAGTTCTAGACCAGTCTCTAGAGATGTGTGACTTGTTGTGACCCTTATTCACTTGACCATACATTGTCACACATCCAAAATGACAGATCTGAATACAACCAGAAGTTTGTTTGCACACCCACAGGTATCGCCCCCTGCTGGCCATAAAAAAGCAATGCAACTTTAAGCCCTTTCGCTTTGGCTAGACTTTTCAGACCTGGAAGCTAAGTTCATCTTTTATACTGTCTATGGTATTAGAACATGAAGTTAAATTTAGACAATGATGTTTTGTCGATTGGCAGGTGAGTGATACAGAGACCCGTCTGGAGTGTCTGCTCAACAACAACAAGAATTCAGATTTCTGTGCACCGCTCACATCCTTTGACTGGAACGAGGTGGACCCAAACTTGTTAGGTAAAAACCTCAGGGCATTTAATCGATAAACCCAAATTACAATGTTTGAAACTGAAAATAAAAAATGTTGTGAATGTAAGTTGTTGTTTTTTTCTGTGCAGGTACTTCCAGTATAGATACCACCTGTACAATCTGGGGGCTGGAGACTGGACAGGTGCTGGGGAGGGTCAACTTGGTGACGGGTCACGTCAAGACACAGCTCATAGCTCATGACAAAGAGGTAAAAGTTATGAGATGATCCATCAAACTTTATTGAAGCGCTGTCCTTTAAAACAAACATGTTAGAGTGACAGACTCATGTGGGCCACTGTCTGCTTGTATCGCAGGTGTATGACATCTCGTTTAGCCGAGCAGGCGGGGGCAGGGATATGTTTGCCTGTGTGGGTGCGGATGGCTCGGTCCGCATGTTTGACCTCCGACACCTCGAACACAGCACAATCATCTAAGAGGGCCCACAGCATCACCCATTGCTCCGACTCTGCTGGAACAAGCAGGACCCCAACTACTTAGCTACCATGGCGATGGACAGCTTGGAGGTTAGTGCTGCTCCATTTAAAGGGCTCATGCTCAGATCATCAAACTGCACAGTGGAAATGTCAATCTAACCATTTTTTCCTTTTCTTTTGTATTGAAAAGTCAATTTAAGAGAAGCTCTAAAAATGTAAAGCGTCGCTGTGTATCCTCAGGTGGTGATTTTAGACGTGCGTGTACCCTGTACTCCGGTAGCCAGACCCAACAACTGAACGGAATCGCCTGGGCGCCACATTCCTCCTGTCACATCTGTACTGCAGGTAGGCAGCTGTAGCAAAACACTTGATTGTAGTTTTTAGAGCACTGCATAAAAAATAAGGCAGCTGTAGTAGCCTTGTAGGGGATATTGTTATTTAAAGGAAACCTAGGCCTCTGGTACATTTGATTGGCCCTCCTAAGGTCAATGGGAAATTAAGATTTAGATGTAAATAATTATAAAACATGCAGTCTGTCCTACTTTAGCCACCAAACGCTCTTTGATAAACTCCCCATCAGATAATGCTTTACAGTTTTTTGCAATTTTTTTGTGGAAAATCACAATACAACTGTGTTACTTTTTATTTTGAAGGGGGTTCTTCTTTTATAAAAAATTTATTGTTAAACTTGTGTTATTTATTATGCAGCTTCACTGCAAATGAATTTTTTATATCAGCAACACAGCCCAGTTACTCACCTTTGTAGGGGGTCTAACACAAGAGTTCGAGATTACAGAGGAGCTGGCAACAATGCACTCAGTGAAAGGGACTAGAGTTACTGCACTGTTCAGATCTGACGGGAAATTGTCTGACTTTTGAAATGAAAGCAAGATAAAGTGACTAAAATGAATTCTGAAATTGGTACTTTTGCATTGTATTACAACTCAGGTGTTGTGTAAGTGAGTGCTAAAAATTAACAATGTTGCTAAAATAGTTAACTTCATCAGGGCAAGAGCACTGAATCAGAGTTTGTTGGACTTTGACTTGCAGAGCACTTCAGTCAGTATCACTGCTGGATTTTCTTTTCTTCTTTCAAACAGTCCACTATCCTTTGTCTTCAGAAAACTTAAAGATATCCAGTTGTCTTCTTTTCAAGCTTTTCATGATCCAGATGAGTGAAAACCTACACAGACATATTGATTAAATAGTGATACTGTGTTGGCCCATTTCACATTTTCATTTACTTTGACCAGTAGTTCAGCTTATTGGCGCGCCCCTCCACAATGGCCCTAGTTTCCCCTTAGCCCCTTGAAAAAAATTAATTGCCCGCCCCTGATCTGAAATGTGAATGTCACTGCAGTAACTGAGATTCAACACAAGAGGGAGCCCTTTAAGAACGAGCTGAGCAGCAAAAGTCTCAGATTTTGTATTTTATGTGAAAACATCTTCTGAATCAGAGGTTGGATTTGAGATAATGACTTTGCAGAGTGTGTGATACTTTGGGAAGAAGAAACAGATTAGTGAAGGTTTCCATCTCATTGACTAATTTCTTGTTGGAAAGAATCAAGTAAAGTCATACTGTTTTCTGGGGCAGATTTTTTTTTCCATCTTTCCTCCTGCCAAAAAAGGAAAGCCTGGTTGCAGATATTACCAGACTCAGAACAGGAATATGTTGTGTTTACTCGCATTATTTTCTCCCAGACTAAATAAGATAAATTGATTGAAATCTCATCTCCTCGTCCTCTGTGTAGCGGATGACCCCATACTGGCCTACACACCCGAGGGACAGATCAATAATGTCCAGTGGGCTTCCACTCAGCCTGACTGGATCGCTATCTTGCTACAACAAATTTTACTAGTTAATTGAAAATTAACTAATATTTTTCACTAAGTGCTAGCAACACATTTGGAAACAGCTGGGACAAGGCCATGTTTACTACTGTGTGTCATCCTGTTTGCTTTCGGCAACAGGTAACAAGAGGAAAATGGAGAGGCAGAGTTTCAGTAATCTGCAAAAACGGTATACATTTTGGAACAGTGTCCTCTATGTAAAACTCCCACTTTCAAATCACATCGTCTACAGTACAATATATCTCTAAAAGACACTGCATTAAAAACAGGTAAAAACAGGGCTCAGGAACACTTCCAGTAATCACCGCTGGTGCCATCCAAGACCCTACAATAATACCAAGAAAATCAACACCTAGTCTTTCTTACAGGGAAGTTACTGGTACAAGATCAAAGATGCTAGCTATGTCGGTAACTGCTGTTTAATTCAGCTTATCTCTATTCCCTCTTCATTATTTTCTATTGTTGCTGACATAAAATTAAAATTACTTAACACAACTTTGCGGGTTTATGCAATGCAGTGCATTATATTAAAGATACTTTATGTGAACTAAATTATCAGCCACCTCTTAATCTTTGAATTTGGATATTTTTTCAGTCTGATTGCTACAGGTGTATAAAACCAAGCCTAACCTGATTAATCTTGGCCAACATAATTCTCTAAATATTTACATTAAACATAGTGGACTCAAAGTGTCAGTATTGGGTCAGGCTAGAGTAAATGGGTCTGCAGGGAAATTCTTTAGAATTTAAAAAGATCATTATCCATACATGAACAGGATACATGAACTCACTAAGGTTGCTGAGGTGACATTTCTGGATTAGCAGTTATCTATATAAAATATAACAACCTTTCTGTTAGTTGTTCATTCAAAAGAATTAAGTGTTTTCAAGTTTATTTCTTTAGGCAAGTGTGAAGGAAGTACACCGCCCAGCCAAAGAACAAGTCACATGCTAATATTTCATTGGGCTGGCTTTAGCTTTGATGATGGCACACTTTCCCCATGGTTTTAAGAAGTGATAATTATTATTCATTTCCATCCAGAATTGCATTAATCTTTCACCAAAAAATTGTATTGATGATTGGTGATGGGGGAGTCAGACTGCTAAAGTCTTCTCCAGCACACACAAAGATTCCCACTGGGGTTAAGGTCTTGCCTCTGTGGTAGCCAATCTATCCTCCATGTTCTCTGAACCGCTCATTTTAAACCTGGTGAATCCTGGCATTGTCAGATTGGTATATTCCCGTGCCATCATCAGAGAAAAAAAATCATTCTGTATATTCAGGTAGTCAGCTGACCTCATTTTTTGGGCACATAACATTGGTGAACCTAGACCCCGAATCCAGTGGGAGGGTCTTTCGTATTTGGTTAGGTAAATCCACATGGTGACTGCTGTTTTTTGGCTGGGCAGTGTGTACAATCCTTGTTTGCAAGCACTGTCTGTGTTCAACACTGTCCAATGTCCAAAGTAATAGTAAAGTAAAAAGTGTAATTATAAATAATTCTTCAATGACAAACGGATGGACTGGTCACAGAGCTCCTTCTAAATGTCTTTAAGAAGTAGGTGACACTGACTGTCAGACGATGGGGAGGACAGGATCCGAGAGGTGTTTCTGGATCTCTGCCAATCGTGATTGTATGTCCAGGCTCTCTGGTAGTGAGGGGTAGTGGAGGTTACCACACAGCCTGGAACTGTCCATGAGGGAGGATTTGACTGATGGCTGGGGTAGCTGAGGAGTTAGCCCAGTATGTGTGTCAGTTTCAGGGGTGATAGCCATGAACATGGTGTCATCAGATGCCGCAGTCACGTGGATCCCACTGGACAGTGAGTCCTGGGATTTGCTGGTCTGCTTAAGGTCTGTCTCAGCCGAGGTCTTAGTAAATAAGCACAAAATGTTGAGATGAAAGAAGATGAAATGCGTTTCAGATATATAACAGTGTTTTTCAGATATTTGGCCTAACTGATGAATTGTCATGGTTTTTTTTGGTTTGATACCATACCTGTGTCGGTGCTAGGGTGTCCATTTGTATGGGGGAAATGGGATACATGTTATGCAGCACTGGAGTTCCAGCCCCATACAGACCAGGGGAATCAGCATGGAGAGTACTAGATGATACAGTGCTGTAAGCTGGAGGTACAGGGGCCATCTGTCTCTGGAGAAGCTGCAGAATAACACTGATGTCAGTTGTCATGCGAGTCTCCAGTCTGAGGAAATAAGAGGTACTAATTAAAAGATGGTGGAAGTATGAGAAGAATGAAGCAAAGTGATAATAAATTGCATGTCCAGACCCAAATGTTACATGCTTAAATTTACACCAGAAATAATGTCATGTTTACGTCCTGCTGATTTTGCTTGTTGACGTGTTGGTTTTAAACTTTATTCCAAATGAAAGTTTGCATAATTAGAGGCATGCCACAGACTGACAGGTGGTTGCCAATGCAGGCTGCAATAGCCTACTGGATATTCTTAAAATATGAATATACCAAAGTTACAATCCGCCCCCGTTGAATGTGTTTGTAGTGCTGATGCCTTTTAGAGCATGTAATATGGCTAGCTGTGTAGATAGTTAATGTAATTAATAACTTAACAGATCCATGATGTCTGATTCTTGTTTTGGTGAGTTCAATTTGATTATTTTCTCTATATTTTACTTAGCATTAATTTAACATATAGTCTCAAAGCTGCAATCTACTAGAGATTGCTAGCATAAACTGATAACTTAGGGCTCAAAATGTTTGTGCAAATATGATAAATTTTGACTCCAACGTAATGTAATGTAACTTATCGTACTATGAAAACTCACTGCAGGGAAAAATTATTGCCTGTGCAATATGTAACAGAAAAGCTAACAAAATGATGTTATCTGTCCAAAATGCTATGTTGCTATGCTATGCTGGCTATGTTTCAGGAAGATTTTAGCACCTTATTTTCAGTTAGCTGTAGAAAAGTTAACTACATATAGCAAGCTAGTACTGAGGTTTTGGAAACATGTAACCACTAAACATGTGACATTAACTTTTCACCATTTTGCACATGCAGTGATCAATACAGTAGAATCAAATGATTAAGATTTCAATGACACCTAGGACTAGAAACTGGTCTGCAACCATTTAGTAACCACCAGTTGTGAGAGAAAATATGTAATCCTCCACTGGTTGGCAATTGGTTGCTGGAGGCTGGTAGCAGTTGCTGGGAAATCGATTGCTAATGGCCTAGTCATATGGGCTTACAGACCAGTCCACAACCATGTGGTAACCACCTGTCACAAGGGGAAAATGTATACTCATTAACCAGTTGTTTGATTTTTGGGGGTAACAAACAAAGAGTAAGGAGGGACTTTTACATAATACAAAGTCGTTGGAGAGCCATGAATATTTTCCTCTCTGCTGTTGATTTCAATTGAGTTCTGTGCTGAACACAAGACATGAAAACTGGAATTTAATTTAACTTTTTGCATAAAGTCAGATTTCGACAAAGAAAAATTCAAAAAGTGCTCAAAGTCTTAGATGGAACTAAAAAAAGTATGGCTTGGAGTGATGCTCATATGGAAATGAATATAGTATAGATCGTTTTTGAATTTTTTGCTTGTTAAAGAAACCCTCTACAGATATGTTAATTGTTCAGGTGTAGAAATGTAATGCTCAGGGTTACGTCAGGATTCCTTCGCTAAGCCATTGGTTCTATGACTTACAGCAAGGCTCGTCACGTTGCTGATGTATACATGCAAAATGAATTTGTGCAAATTTTCAAGATTCTTGGGTGATGTAAATGTTAACTCATCACCCATTTTAAGATAAGACAGAAAATTCATTGACTGAGGGAATTTAGGCAATGCAACATTTGAGCCAAAGTCACTGTCACTCCTCGTATCTTTTTCTCAGAAGTAGCAAAGATCAAAAGGTGAACGGTAGCAAATGCACCTGTTGAGCTGTGAATGCAAAATTTCAAGGCGTGTCTCAAGTTCACTGGGCCTTTCTTCTGTGAATGGTGGTGGGTGGCATGAGTTGCGGACAGAAGGTGATCGCCAGGCTTGACTGGAAAACTGCTGTGATTGTCTGTCTGACCAGTATTGATACATCCCTGGCACATTCAGAGATGAGGCTGAGGAAAATATCAAGACAGTGTTTCAAAGTGACACATTTAAAACAACCAAAACCTTTCAAACAGGGTAACAATCAAGACTGCAGTTAAATTTATATCTTGCAATTGCATGACAAAATCAAGACTGCCATCTACCTTGGGGACCCCGGTCAAACACTGCATCCTTCCCCACTGATGTGCCACTTTGGGGGTGCAGTTGTAGTGCAGATGAAGAGTAATCCTGCCTGTCAGCTTCTGCAGAGTAATGCTCTGTTTTGGCACCATGGGCAAGAGGTTTTTCAAAGTCCTCACTTGCCTGCGAACATGGCGATCCACAGCTACAACGGTCCTCCCAGCAGGCATGAGAAAATGACTGATGGCAGGCCTGAAGGGGATACGAGTCTTCATGATCAATTCCATCTGTTCAAAGAAAAGCATTTCAGTCCTTCAGTTACAGTTTTCCCACGCATGACACCCACAGTTTGGGGTGTCAGGCAGCCAGAGATGGCTCAATTACAAGTCAAGTTGAAACACAGGTGGTGGTGGTGGTGGTGTAACACTTTTCAAATCTGTAAGGCCTGTTTTACAGGCATGTCTAAAGCATCTTTGGATTCCATGGATAATCTCAGTATGATTCCATGTCCATCCATTTAAGTCAGGATTTGAAATGGCTTTTCACATTGTTTGCTTTGTTTGCACGACTTTCTATGCATTTCATATCTCACCTGGCCTATTTCTGCAGTCCAGTGAGTGTATTTTGCATCTTGGTTTGTGGTGGTATTCACAGTCATCACCAGAATCATCATCTATTATTACTGGTGGCTCTTGATCAGCCTAAAGACGACAGAAAAAAATATTTATTATCTCACCAAAGTGACAGTATAAAATATCTGTTTTTAGCATTAGGTGAAGTGTGTTACAATAAACTGTCAATGTACATCTCTCAGGTCAAAGGTTATCTCCAGGTTCCTCCAGAAGTTGTCTGCAAAGCTTGGGTACATATCCAGGACCTCAAGAAGGTCATCCCTAAGGATGCGGTGCAGTTCACAGTAGGTGATGGTGTGTAGGTCTGAACTTGATTTCCCTGGCTCATCATAAAGGTGGATATGCTCACCAAAGATGTCATTCTTCTCTGTAAGAGGACAAAGATTTATTTGATTTGAGAAGGTCATTTTTGAGAGGACTTAAGGAGTAAAATAATGTATGGTTATATAGCTTTACCTAATATGGCCACCACTACATCATCTCTGGTGACCTGGATGGAACCATGTGAGATGAAAAAGAGAGAGTCGAGGATGTCTCCATAGTGAATCAGAGTATCTCCAGGAGGTGCATGGACTGTCTTGAATCTCACAGATAAGAGACGGAGACATGCTTGGCTGCCTCCTTGGAAAGCCTTGCAGTTCTGTAGCAGAGAGCGGTGCAAGTGCAAACAGATGTCTGCCTGCAGAGACTCTGGAAATCCCTTTAACACCTGAACAAAGAAATACGGTCAGAAGATACGTAACAATAAGAGAGATAAAGAACATCAAAGGAGCATTACCATTTTGTTTACTTACAGCATTCATGTCTATTCCGTTTGTGTATGTCCATGCATGCTGGAAATACTCCTCTAGTCGTTGGCGCAGACTACCTGGAATCTGATGGAAGCGGATAAACTCTTTGACTCTCAGCATCTGGGTGTGGTACCGGGTTGTACCAGTGTACAGCCGCTGGATTATGGCAGATACATTGCCAAATATGCTGGCATACATGAGAGCTGATACAGAAGAGAAAGAGGACAAGAAGACAAACAGGATTGGGTCATTTCAGATGTAATAATGATAAAGTTGTACCAGTACCCAACTAAAGACTTACATACAATGACCATTGGTTATTCAACTTACATCCAATGACCATGACACAGATGGAGAACATCTTCTCTGAGTTTGTGTTTGGAGACACATTACCGAACCCCACACTCGTCAAACTGCTCAGGGTGAAGTACAGAGCTGTGACGTACTTGTCTTTGACTGAAGGACCAGAGCTGGAGTCGGTTTCATTGTACGCCTTTCCAAGTTGCTCAGCCAGGTTGTCCAGCCAACCAGTCTCGGTGTACGGCCTCTCCACAAAGCCAATGGCATACCACATGCACGCTAGCCAGTGGGCGATGAGTACAAAGGTGCACATGAGCAAGAAGAGGACAGCAGCACCATATTCAGAATATCGGTCAAGCTTTCTTGCCACACGGACCAATCGCAATAGCCGAGCTGTTTTCAGGAGGCTTGTTAAGGTTGCCATCTTTGGTATCCATGAACAAGAGGGAACATGTAAGACAGGGATGGGCAGATAAAAGGTCAAACAGCTTCAATAACTTTTGAAACTCAATAGGGAACAACTTTTAAAGTTTAGACACTTAAGGATAAAAACATTTGAAGCTTTACAAAGAATCAGAATTCTTACCTCGTCCGAGCTTGATCTGAAAATGAGAAGGTCAAACGGGATTGCTGCAAACAAATCAATAGGGAACCAGCCTTTGATGTAATGCTTTGCTATCTGGCTCGGCTGCGTGACTACTTCGTCATTTTGGTCCACATAGGTCGTCCGAAGGTTGATGATTATATCCACAATAAACAGCACGTCCACCATAAGATCTGCCACATTTAGAGGGTTACATGTGTAGCCACAACTCCTTTGGCGTAAATCCCCATTTTCAGCCAACAGGAAGGCAGCTGAGTAAGGAGTAATAACAGCTGTGTAGAGGACCAGAAGGAGAATAATCCAGTCCCAAAATGCCTTAAAGGGGCTGTAGTGAAGCAAGATCCACCATGTCGTTTCTGGTACCTGGAGTTTGTATTCAGGCAGCACATCAGACTCCAAAGAGAGAACCTAAGCATATAAAGAATTCATCAGTATGCTTCTTTACCTATTTCACAGGGAAATCAAAATATTTAACGAGTGCTGTTTTAATTGATTTTGAGGAATATACTTCTTCTCCCAGAAGGTGAATAAATATCCATCATGTACCCAAATCCCTTCTTTCTTTGATGAAAAGAACACCTAATCTTTTGCATGCAAAGGAAAACAGTAAACCTAGATTTCTACAAAACAAATATTAGTGTTTCTATAAAATCTCTCTCATAAACTAACCAACAGACCTTGTTAGAGCATGTACTGTTTTGACCAGGTTCTCGTTGGAGGCTGCGTGCTTTAGTTTTGCAACCTTGTAGGTCCAACAAATCCTTGACCATCCTGTCATTAGTGACTTTCAGCAGACACAAGACTTGCAGAAAAGTTAGATCCAGATAAGGGAACCATATTCAAAATTTCACAAAACCTTAAAGATAGATAAAATAACAACATCCTGTTTATGAACAGTCTAAGAACTGAACGCAGGATGTTGGTTTGCTGGAAGGCAATAATGATGAGTTGGTCATGTGCTTTCACTGTCATTGAGTTCTGCCTATACCCTCAATATGTTATTATTTAATCTCACCAACTTTGCAAATAACTCTATGAAAAAGACAGATAAATTAGATTATTGACAGTCAGAGAGACAGGGATTACCGGGTACCCCCATGGAAGTTCACATGCCCCTTCCATTTGTTTTGAATCCATCTCACATGATCCCACAGAGCAGTGATGCAGGTCACTGAGCTTTAGGGGTCCAGCAGTGTTAACAGTAGGTGTTAATTTAACTGTGGCTCAGTTTTAGGTTCTACTTCACACCCAATGATGAATACAACCAGTCACCTGATCACCAACTGATTTTAAAAGGTTAATTAACAGAAGTCTTCCAGTGTGGAAACTTTCTAGAGCCCATCTTGTTAAACATGATTACTTTCACATCCAGTGATGGACTGAACCAGGTCAGCAGTGAATGTGATCATTAATGGCAATACATTTCAGTCATTTGGATCTCATAAATGGGACCTGCAGAGCCCATGTGAGGTTCTCAGCTGCCATACCTGTGTGACCTTCTCTGTGACATTGGGCGAGCGCTCCCCCACTTTGAAGGAGCCGCGGAACTCCATTCGAGGAGTCGGAGATGAACGGCATTCAGGGCTCCTGATGGCCGGTCCCCCACCCTTCATGAGGTCTGAGTCAGACATTGAGCTTTGCTGTCCTGTGTATGATTAGAGAAACACTCCTTTATATTTAGACTAAAGAGATCACATCCAAGCTAGTTTCAAAAATATTTTTTTGATCATTTTCTATAAAGAATTTTGACTTTTTCATAATATTACAATAGTTAGTGTATTAAGATTAGCATTATTGTAAGCCTGATGTAATTTACTTTATTGTTTATATAAAGACACTTATTGAAAACTTCTTGATACAGCTCTGTTTCCTAATACAAACTCCTCTGTACTCTAAATTTCCCAGAATGCAAGTCTAGCTGTGCCCCTCCCAAAATACTATGCCCTCACATAGTGCAAGGAGTCAATACTTTAATCCCTGCATGGCAAAGGCAGGATTTACATAGCTGAACAATCTTTCAATAGTCGATCAAATCTTCAGTCAAACATCACTAAAAGTGAACAGGACATACCTGATTTGAAACTTCAAAGTAAGATGTTCCTTTACCATATATACGCATCCAAAATATCCATCATTTCAAACACTTTTTGGACAAGTGTCTTCGAAAACATTCAGTCTCCTCTTTCATATTTGAGTAAAACAAAAGTACTCTGTGTTTCTGTTGTGGCTGCAGATGTCAGTATTGAAGCCTTCACTCTGGCACGCAGCGGAGGACTGTCCTGCTGCTCGCATGTGACTGTGCAACTTTCCCCGACACTGGAAACCAATCAATGCCACGCTATAGCTGAGAAGAACCGACTGGAAAATCGATGACGAGCATTGATAACAGAACAAATGGGATCAGAGCCATTACACTAGATCTCCTTGTTGACATCAAACTATCATTTCAGCTTTCTAATTCGGTTTAAATTAAAATTAGATTATATTTTGAGTATAGTTCAGGCTGCATGATGTCAAGTTGAAAAATTCAAACCAAAGTTGGGAATGGTGTTCACTCCATATGTTCCATTCAAACTGCTGAAGTGCAAGCTTATTGATTAAAATGTTGACACTACAGTTAATACAAGGGAGAAATGACCCATTATGACATTGTCCTTCAGCTGTAACCTTTAACATCTGTATTTCTTTTATTTGGTTCTTAAAAACGTTATATCATATTTTCCTCTTTTAAAACATTTTTGATGACAAAGGAAAATATTTAACAGTAGACAAGCGATGTATCACGCCTATACTTTACATGCCCTAACTGAAAAACTGCCAAATGTTTTCAGAGGTCAACCTAATCGATGACCCGATGGCCCAGGGCCAAGAAAAAAGTACATCAGGAAAGTTCATTGGTCAGATGAGGGTCTGTTTTGGCCAGTGATGGGGTTTCTGGCCTTTGAGGTCCCTTATGATGCAAACAGATACAATAGCTTGCAGAACCAACTTTAGCAGAAATACTAGTTATTCATTTTCTTTTTTGACTTTATCAGTCTGTCACATCATTCTTGAGAAACTTTTCTCCAGCTCTTCTTTACAGCATTGCTTCAGTTCATTGAGTTTTGCAAGTATTTGTTTTGCACAGCTCTCTTAAAGTTCCTCCACAACATTTCACTCAGACCGAGGTCTGGGCTTTGACTGGACCATTGCAGCACCTTCATTCTTTTATTTTTCAACCATTCTGTTGTAGATTTGCTGATGTGCTTTGGATCATTTTAAAGTGTGCGTGTTAGTCGTCATAGGGAAATAGTTCCTCTAATCTAACTGCCTGTTTTGGACACTTTAAAGGAAAGAGACGCTACCATCACCGGCCCTGCTGGTTTGTTTACCACAGCCTTTGTTTTTCGCAGTGAGCTGAGCTGAGTCTAAATTTATTTTAAATCTTTAGTTACTAGTTATTTTGCAGATTTGGACTAATAATTGGTTGTGATCTGTCCTAAATGCAGCTGCGTGTCTTTTAATATTTCCAGAAAGAGATCTCATATCCCCTAACTTTAATATATCTTCACTGACTCCCTGTTGACTTTCGAGTCAGTTTTAAAATGTAAATGGCAATGCACCCCGGCACATGTTAAAACTTTTACTGACCCACTCTTTCAACCCGTAGGACTTTGGAACAGACTGCTGGTGGTGTCTCATTTTAAAATGAGTGGAAACCAGGCCTTTGGGGTGGGGTGGCATGAGTTGCACTTATCTCTTTGTTTTACTGATTCAGAAGAGGCTTTTAAAAAAGGCTAGACATTCCTACTCAGACAGGCATTTGAGTAATTATATGTAAGACTTTGTGTTGTTCATGTATCTGATATACTGTATTTAATTTTTTTTCATTTGTTGCCAGGCACGTTCTGACGTTGGCCTTGAAAGATGCTTTACAAACACATTTCTCTTAATGACGAGGTATTATGGATGAAGCAGGGACTATAGGAAGCCAATCAATTAGATTTTTTTGTGGGCCAGTTAAAGTGTGACCTTCTGACCTGGAGGCCCAGAGGATAAAAACATGTTATGTCCTGTTGTTTGCATTTTTTCCACTTTTTTCAGCATGTCTATTGTGCATGTTTCTACTGTGACTATTATAGAAAACAGATTTTAGACAAAAGCATTACTCAAAGCTGTCTCTCATGTCTGGATGAGGGCTGAAGTTTTATTTTAAACTGATCCGTGCTAATCCACAAACACTTGTTCCTTCTATAAGTTCAAAGGTTAACTTTGAGGTCATGTTTGATCAAAAAGGACTCATTAAAACACCTCTTCTAATAACTTTTACAAACCTACATGAGGAATTCTTTCGTCAGTATGGAGATGCAGTTCACTTCCCACAGCACAGTGTATTTCAGGATGGCTTCCCCCCCCCCCACATACAGACCACATCCATAAGGCTAATACAGTCACACTTTCAGACTCAATTTTAATTTCAAGACTCTGTTCTTATTGATAACATGCAGTATCGGCACCCATGAGGTGTCAGCTGGCAAATCCTTTGTCTCCAATATTCCACAGTTAGTGTCCACCTAGTGTCCAGAGACTGTCCTCAGCTGTGAGCCTGGATGTTGTCCCACACTCTGACTACATCTGGACAGTCATTGAGGGCTTCTATTAGAATTGAAGCAGCATCGAGGTGATCCTCGTCCAGGGGTGCGTGTGTGCGGGGAACAAACTCCAGCCCAGAGGACAAAACCTCTATTCCTAGCTCCTTTAACAAGGCCCTCACCTTATTCAGGTCAGCCACATCACAGAGAAACTAAAGACAAAGAGGTAGATCAAGCTGTTAAATAAAATTTGTACCTATTATTATAATATTGTAATTATTTTTATTTTTTTTTAGATTTCTACATTTCAGAGACCTTGAGTATTTCTTTTTTCATTTTGTATTGAATGCACAAACTGAACTGTATTTAACCTGAGGACAGATCTGAAGGTTGTGTGTTCTACTGTACTGTATGGAAAACTGAAAAAAAAACATCTGTTTGTCGGTATCTTGAAGAATTAAATCATTCCAATCAGTTATTTAAAGGCACATATCAAAACTGAAATCATTTTCCTGGAGGTTGATGTCTGACCTGCAGCAGGGGCTTCTCCTCCTCATCCTCCGTCTCTTGGACGTCTTCGGCTCCAGCCTTGATGGCCAGCTCCAGTGCTCTCTCCGTGGTGATGTTCTGACCTGGCACGACCACCACTCCCCTCCTCTGGAAGTTATGCCGGGCTCCGTCTGACAGCATCCCCCTGAGGATGGAAGCAGAATTAAATTTTTTTATTTTTTTATTCCGAAGGCTTACAAACAGATACGTTTACTTCTTCAATAAAAGAATAAAAACAATAAGAACATGTTAGTAGTAAACAAGCAAGCTTAAATACATCTCCCTGCTGTTTTTTCATCACTTATACCAGCAATACAATCTTTAATAAAGACATACATTACAACATACTATTAAGCTTTCATCACTGCTGTTTCCTGCAACTAGAGGGACATCTACTGGCTACTTTACAACAAATCTTTTGTATAGTGTGTGTAGAAACCTGAAATTTCCTATAACAATCTGATATTCTCTGTCCATGTTCTTTGTTTTTTTTTTCCTAATCTTTAAAAATTAAAACACTGCTCCTCTGGCATGTTTTGAATATTTTATCAAGGTATTCTCAGGTAATCTCTTAAGATTTGTTAACACTGATTTTGCATACAGCTGGGATTTGTTTTGTGTGAGAGAAAATTGATGCATCTGTTAACCTTAAGTACATGTCGAGCAGGTTAACACTAAAACCATCGGCGATGGTGTGAAAACGCTCGTAAACCTGACACAGTTACAGAAAGGTGAGACTACAGGAAGCCGGGCCTGACCCATTCTTGTTAAGCAGGCGTTTGATTTCCTGGTGGGTGCGTGAGTTGTTGTCGGTTAGGACTTCGACAAGCAGCAGACACCCGCCGGGTCCCCGAGCCTCAAACATGTGCTGAGATGCTGGCTTGGCCTTTTCCTGCAGAGACAGGACACAAGACGAGAAGATGACTGCAGCACAGTATCACAAAAAATAACACATACAGTTATGTTCTTAAGTATTTGGACAATTACACTTTTTGATATTTTTGTACACCACCACATTAGATTTTCACTGACTCTTGTATTTACAGCAGGCTTTAAGATTTCTGTGCTGGGCAAACTGCGAATTAATAGTACAACACATTTAAAACAACTGTTACTGGAATCAAACTAAAAACCAGGGAAAACAGGTGAGTTCTGAGTAAGAACTCAAAGGTCTATAATGATGTTCTGGGGTAGGTGGTTCCACAGGGAAGAGCCTAAAGCTGAAAATGCCAGATGCCCGTTATTTTTTAGCCCTGTGATAAGAGCACCCAGAATCATCTGATTAGAAGACCTTAGTGCTGTAATGGAGTGTGGATGGTTAAAAGCTTAGATAAATAAGGGGGCAGGACAATTCAAACAATTAAAAACAAGCAAGAAAATCTTAAAAATTAAATCTAAAAGAGTGGATAAAACGGGGACTGTGTGTTCTCCATTGACTTGTTCTTAACTGTGTCACATTTTATTGATATATTTATAGATTTTTAATGACCCTCACCTAAGACTGCTACCCGGCTAAACAATGCATAAAAACTATTGGATGCAGGTAACCTGCAAACATGCTCTGTGCTCACACTGCGGAGGATCTGTTTGAAGTGGCACCACAGATGCTTTCTGTATCTCTGTGCCAGTAAGGTTATCAACCTACCGCACTCTTGACTGCAGCATCTATGGATGCTTTGGGCATGTTCTTGCTCCTGCACTGCTCCAGTATGTGGGCCAAATTTAGATTCAGCTCTGGGTTAGATCCACCTTCTGAGGATGACAACCAGAAGTGAAATTTTATCCAATCAGAAACCGTAAAGCAGTGAAGCTCCAATTAAACAAAACAAAACCCATTCTCACGTACCTTTGACAGCTATTCTTATCATCATACCAAACTTCATAAACATCCTCCCCCTCGCCTCATCTTTTGGTCCCTTGACGTGCTTCACCTTTGACCACTTGTTATGTCCGGCACACAAAGCGGGGCACAGCTGCAGTGTCCGGGCAGGAGGAGTCCTCCACCCTGAGGACACCACACATGAAGACGGCGGGAGAACTGGCTCCAGAGATGGGAACCTGCTGGAAGCCGCGGACACAGGGGGGCGGAGAGCTCTCAACAGCAGCAGCACCGGAGCCGCCATGCCCTTCACACACACAGACACACAACTACATGAACGCTCCTGCTGCACATGTGGAGCAAAGACTACGTTTAATGAGTGAGCTGAAAGTCTCCGTCTGAGGGAGAGAGCTCCAAACTTTGCTGTAACCACAGTAAATAATAAAAACTGTCTGAAGTTTTCCAACTTACGAGCTGACAAGTCAAGAGAGCACGCAGCTGCTTCTGCCCTTGTTGTCAGACCGGTACTTCCGGGTTGAGATGACGTCGGAATCGGACCTGTCAAAATAAAGGCTGTTAAATTATTTTAAATCATGACATTTGTGATACAGTAAATTAGTAATAGTGTGCATTACTATACATATATTTTTAAATAACTGACCACAGGAGTTACGGAAATGTTAATAGAACATTTAATGAATTAATAACTACATTCTCACTTACCAATTTTGTCTTTAGTAGTTGTAAAATGAATTAAAAAAATATTTTTATTTATTAAACGCCAAATGACAACAACAGTCGTCTCAAGGCGCTTTATGTTTTAAGGTAAAGATCCTACAATAATACAAAGAAAACCCGAACAACCAACAATAGTCAGGAAAACAAAAAGAAAGGATTACAAAACACACACAACAAACACAGAAAATATTCATTTCCATTCAGTTTTATTTATATAATCCCGAATCACAAATGTTGTCTCAAAGTACTTTATATTGTGGAGTTAAGATCCTAGAATAACATGACGCACTTTAAGCAAGAAGTTGGCAACAGGAAGAAACCTCTGGTAGAACTAGGCTCAGGGAGGAGCAGGCACCTGCAGCGACTGGTTTGGGATGAGAATAAATAAGAAATAAAAATAAGAAACAAACTGAACAAACTTCATCATTCAGACAGTTGGAAAATGTGGGCGAGCTTCTCATCACATAAACAACTCAAGTGCAGCACATATGATAAAGTCTGACATCACAAAGTGAACATCTGACATCATCATCAGGTCGCAGCACCCCCAAAACAAGATGGTACTACCTCACTAGAACAACTTCAAACCAGTAAAAAAAAAAGTAGAAAATAAAAGATGACAGAGACACCTTTATTGGAAAGTCAGAGGTATTGTTTATCTAATGCAGACTCATCTTCACTCTCCTATTTATTTATTTATTTATTTATTTATTTATTTATTTATTTATTTATTTATTTATTTATTTATCTGTTGCTTTATTGCTTTTTAAATGCACGGAACCAGGAAAACATATGATAGAGTAAAACCATGGCAATCTAAAGTGTCTCTGGGTTTTCTGATTGTGGCTGAGGACCACTGAGTACAGCAGACTATCACCATGCATACAAATATAAGTTCTTCAAAAATGCATGTCAAAACAATGCTTGTCATATAATTTGTGCATTTGTCATTCATGCATATCAGAATATATATTATGTAATATATATTACTTTAACTGGTGTGGTAAGTAGTTCTATGAGTCTGGTTTGTATCACTGCTTTCTAAAGTCTCCCAGTGCGGGATACTCATGCTGTAAACCAAGTATTAAATTATGTTACTAGTAAAAACTAAGAGTCCTATTAGTGGGAATAGAAAAGAGCAGGTTAAGGCAGACAAACAAGCCAAATGTCAAGCACAGAGAGATAATGACAGCAGAGGAGAGCAAAGAGTTAAGTGAATGGAAGCCACAGCATATCAAGGCCAACCCATCTCATCCCAACAGTCCTAAGAGCAGCGAAGGAGGTTTCCTCCTCAGTGCTCCTCTCTTCCCCAAAGAGAGATCATCCAACCACAGACAGCCCCTCAAAACTCATTAGTAATGTCAGCTGAGCTTCATGCAGAAAACTCTGGACCTCAAGAGACTCCAAAACACAGTTCCTGTTGACTAATAAAGGAGCACAGATGGGACACGAGAGAAGAACATTAACTTTAGGACAAAGTTCCTTCAGCACAACCTGAAGAGGATAAAATGATCTGAGAGTGAAAGGTGTGCTGTTCTGTTTCAGCTGGAGAGACGTCATGTTGTCTGCACAAGGAATTATTGTTTTTTACTTTTTCCACGGTGTAATAACAGCCTCAGCGCTGGTAAGTTGACTACATTCATAATATTTAAATTGTTTAATTATTGAACAGTTATTCACTGATGGGGTTTGTCAGGGGAAAATATTTTACTCCTGGTTTGCTGCTATTTCTCTGCTGCTTTACTGTTAACATAAATGAGGTCAAATAAGTGCAATTTAAACCCAGATATTGAATTTTCTTGATGATTTCTACTAATGTAAGCTTTTTCAAAGCAAACTTTACTTAAAAGGGCTAATAATGATCTTAAACGGATTGGAGCAGTAGATAAATTCTTAGTCTCACTTGCGTCTTGTGTCCTAAATTTAAACTTTTCACACAGCAGCAGCATATCTTACACTTTATTATGACCCTGAGTCAGACATGACACAGCCGCACTGCTGCAGTTTGGGCCAAAGTTAGAAAATGTCATGTATCTGTGACCCGCTTTGATGCTTTGAATTAGATTTATTTAATGCTTCAGGAAACATGCCAGACATTCAGCAGCAAGACTGAGATGACAGTGTCTTCTTAGTTAACTGATGAGGTGATAAGGAATAAGTTTTCCAGCAGTCCTGCTGAGGAAAATAAAAAGTATTCTAACCCACCTCCATTCCTCTATTTTGAGTGAATCTCGCATCAAACCACGAGACAACTGAGACAAATTATAAAAAAGCTCATAAGAAATTTCATTGAGTAGAAAAATGCTTAATTTCATATAAAAAGTGGATATATTAATATAGTTCTTCTCAAGGCTGAGAAAAAAAACTTCACATCACAGCAGCACAAGAACCATCCCTCTCCTTTATCAGAAGTCACCTGTGGTCTGCTTTACCTCACAAACCATAATCAGCTTTGACCCTTTTAACCTTTCGCTGACTGAAGCATGCTAACAGTGACCGTAAGTGCCCTTCTTCATCTCTGGATCTCCCCCGTGTCCGTCCTGAGTGTTGATCTCGGACAGGATAACAGGATCATGGAGGTGGGAGGCTAAGGCTAAAAAACAGTTTGTGTCGGGAGAAAAACAAAAAAGCTCCCCTTCTGTATTAAGAGGCCCAGATAACTTCTCTGTGAGATCCAATCCACTCAACAGTGAAGGGTTTGAACTACACAGGATGCCTGGATATGCTAAACCAGGGGTCTCAAACCTACAGCTCCCAGAGCCACACGCGGCCCTTTTATCAATCTCCAGTGGCTCCCTGTGACATAAAAACTAAATGAATATTTAAACATATAATATGTATTTTAAATATTTTAATTATTTATTTATCAAGTTTCTTCCCATTAAATGTGTTGCTTATAAGATTAACACATTTTAAAAGCCCCCTATAGTCTGTGTTGCCACCTGGTGCCTTAGCTTCTTAATGTTGCTGTTTCTTAATTTCAGTTATGTGGTTCAGAACCAAGCACTGATGAGGACACATAAGCAGCTAGTCTTGAGTTCTCCAATGCAAAAAATTAAACATAATCTTGAAAATAGAGCGATTCACAGCGTGTCAGTGCTACCGGCTCACCTGTGCGCTCGATCAGGAGCAAAAAGGCAAGAAATGAAAGTGCAGTGAAATTGTGGAAAGATATTTCTAGAAGAAGCCGGATGTTGTTGCATTTACAGGTCTGAGGGTTGATTGACTTGTGTAGCTGAACCTTTGAAATTCATTTGCACAACTACAGCTATTACCAACAATGGTATTCATAACTTTATAGTCTTTGTTTCAAAGTTGGTCCATACATGATATGATAGACCGTTTTTCCTCCACTTTACATTGTTCTGCTTAGTCATTATATTGCAAAAGTAACATCTAATAAAGTTTTATAAATCAATTTTTCTTTTTTTCCAGATCTATCATTTCCTAAAATCACTGAAATAAAATTAAAAAAACAAGTTAAAGTACCAAATCCTCAGAGTTGCACGTTGTTAAAGATTTTAATTATTTACCATTAGTATTACTTCTGTTTACCAATTATTATCTATTAGCAATGTTGATAACAGGATTTCTCACCTTTATTATAAAGCAGACATATGTTTTGCATCTTTATACACTCAAAAAATATTTATGCCCAAAATGGTAACTTTAAGTAATTAATCTTGTTACATAAGCACAATGTTTAAATGATTATTTATCTGAATAAATAAACCTCCGATTTTCTATATTTACTCAAAGGGTTGCTTGACAGTAAACATTAATCGAACCTCTACAGCGAATGATCGCTGCTCAGCGTCCAGCGTTACTAGAAACAAACATTTAGCCAGCTGCAGTTTATTTCACTGTAACGTTGTATTCATTTACCTACATGGTAATTTATAAATCAACTAAATCGTTTTCTTTAGCATGTGAGAGTCAGTACTCACCTCTTTTATTCAAGCCAAAGTCCACTGAATGACAGTAGAAATTACTTATATGTTTTTTTGTTTTTTATTTTGTAATTTCTATACTAGATTTCTTTTCTTATTTATTTTGTTTTTCAATGTTTCATTTTATTATTTTGTACTTCTTGCTGACCCCTGTGCTGCTGTAATTACGGGATTGATACAGTCTGTCCGTCTATATGACTTCCAGGCCATTTGATTCACTACAAGGCCCTTAAAGCATCAATTAAAAAAACTGAATTTTAAAGGAGAAAAAAGGACTTTCCATAATTTGAAGAGGTGGCAGTTTGCTTTGTTTGTTTCTCTTCCTTTGCAAATCTTCCGTCTGCTCCGCTCCTCCCCTCTGCCAAACCATTCTCATGCTCTGCTAGTTTTGATGCTCAGTCGTGAAATGCACCCGGGAACACAAAGCTGCTTGTGCTGACCGGCTCACACAAGCATGGCCCCCGAGGATGAGATCCCCGTGTGGCCAGCGGCAGCCCGGCTGCTGTGAATAAAGGGCCTGGCGGGCCATCATCACATACCGCACTCTCACACAACTATTTCACAACACCTGGAGGCAGCACATCAGATCTTTGGGAGAGGTTGTGGTTGATGAATCACTTCAGAGAGAGTTTCATGAGGATCATCTCAGAACGATGCATAGATGGGTTATATGGCCCTTCAGTATAAATAAATGACATGATTTATGCTGATCATTATGTATTAATCTTGTTTTCTATTGTTTACCATTGAAATGACGTATATGCAATAATGTATCTATACGTAGTATTACTGAGAACTTGGTGGGCGTGTCTTCATAATTCATGTGATGCTTTTTTGTTCCTTTTCTTACAGATTGACTCTGATGATGTCATCACACGGGATGAGCAGATCTACCTTCTGATTGGTGCTCATGCCAGATGTGAAAGGAGCATCAAGGCACAAATGCCCCTCATTAAAGGTTTGGGGATTTCTTTTTAAACACTATACAGAGTGCCTCTTCATGGAACTGGTTTCCCCCCGGTTTTGAATACTTTCTATGACTTTGTGAGCCTCCAGTTAGAAATAAAAAGCAGTCAACACTGGAAGTATGTCTGACTTTTAATATTTCAAAGAAGGTCCTGTCAAATAAGAGCCTTTTTTTAACAGGCGGTCAGTGAGTGCACGTCCAAACACACAATTAGATCAACTATTTATTGCATCACTTGTTTATTTAGGATCAGATGCAACACCCAGTCCAATATCCTGCTTTCCAATATCTCTTTTATTACACAGCGAGGCATTTTTAATTTGGAAATGCGATGGAGAAGCTGATGCTTGATAAGCTGATTCAATGCGGTATTATTAAATATTACAAATCTTCTCAGGAAATGTGACTCAAGCTTTAAGTGTTACATTTTTATTGATTTACCAATCTTGAGGAAGCATTGGAAGCAAGTATGTTTATGCATCAGCTCATTTACAATTTTAGCTCCAATATTGAAGGAAATCTATATATGGAGTGCTAAAAGTGTCATAAAAAGACAATAATAATCTTATATGACGTATTATTACAGGTAAAAGCAGCCAAATGTGATTTAAAGAAGTTTAAATTAGCTAAACTTTGTCTGGTAGCAGCATTAAAATCCTATTTAGTATTTCGGTAACTTAATGATGTAACATTATGGTCATGTAAAAAAGATTAATAGGCATATGGGTATACTTTTGTGTTTATATGTATTTTTTCTGTTTATGTTTGTTTCAAATGCACCAGTTATACTCCCCTTAACTGTGTATCACATATATACCCTTACAGTGGTATTAAATAGGGGTGGGGTGAAAAATCGACACAGCATAGTATTGTAATCTTTTGTGTGAAAATACTGCAGAGCTGTATTGAATTGTTTCACATAAAAGGGAGCTTTCCTTCCCACTGTCGCCAAGTGCTTGCTTGTAGAAGTCATGTGATTGTTGTGGTTTTCTCTGGCTTTACGTTACAATATAACGCACCTTGAGGTGACTAACTTTGAGGAAATAATTAACAGTTTAAAAAAAAAAAGGTGATGAATTGGAATATAATATATTGCAGTATATTGCAAAAAAATACAAATTGCAATACACTCATGTTGTGGGTTGTTCTGCGATTTTCACCTCTGATATTAAACATGGAGAGGTTTTAGATAATGATGGCAGCTTATGTATAAGTTATCCTTGTGAGTCAAGGAGGGGCCTGTTTCAGATAAAATATGAACTGAAGTTTAAATCACTGAGGATCACTTTAAGTTTTGAATCATGCAAAGCTACTCAAGAGCAGTCTACGAATAAAAGTACAGCGTTAGCTGGCACAATGTGTGAACTATACACAGATCTGTCAGCTTGCTAACACTTTTTTCACACCATTGTTGAAGATGGCGACTGCACCCCAGAGTGGGATGGGATCATCTGCTGGCCACAGAGCACAGCAGGTCAGCTGGTCTCAGTTCAGTGCCCGGAGTACATCTATGACTTCAACCACAGAGGTAGCAGAGCTCCAGAGATACTAGCATCTGATCATCTACACAGTATAAAAAGCATCCTTCAACCTCAATAACCAGGAAGCAGTAGTTTTGAGAAAAATGCAACTGAAAAGTATAAAATCAAAGATTTCCTTATTCAAAAAATGAATCATTATGTCCTGCCCTCCCATGGACAGGGCGAGCCTACCGTCAGTGTGATGTGTCAGGCAACTGGGAGCAGGTGGCAAGCATCAACCGCACTTGGGCAAACTACAGCGAATGCACCAGATACCTGACCTTCAATCACAGAAGCCACGAGGAGGTGTGTGCATTTGATCCAGTGCTGGGTTGAATTAATCTGTTTGTGCACGTTTATCTAACAGCAGAAAAGAGACAGAACTTCTTTAGAAGACAGTACAACAACGGCCATATTCTTTTTTTGTTTTGTTTTGTTTTTTTAGCTCTTTCAGTATTGCAACTTTATTACGCCCAGGTTACAAATGATCTTTTACAAGGTTTTATGTTACAATACATCGTATTTTTAGATTCGAAATTTTCTCTATAAGGGATAGCCACACTCCCCCTATGCTAGTCTTTGTGTCAAATCTCTATGTTTATAGCTTTGATGGTTCACTAAAGATTCTTGTGGTAATGTGTAAGTGTGCATTTGCATCTTTACATGACAGAATATGTGTAAACCGGCCATATTCTTACAAAATACTCTAGGCCTGTCTTCAAAAGACCTTTTCCCTCCAGTGTGCTAATTGTGCTGAAGATACAAAATTACCAATGTGTTCAAATCTGTTCAGTCACTTCTGTTTCCAGATATGAAAAGATGCTTTGCTGTGTTTCAGAAGGTGTTTGAGCGACTCCATCTCATGTACACCATCGGCTACTCCATTTCTCTCGCATCCCTGCTGGTGGCAGTCTTCATTCTCTGCTACTTCAAGTAAGAAGAAAACAGCTTACGAGCTTTGATCCATAAACCTGTAACCGAACAGCATCTCCGCACTTCAGTCTGTTGCATCCAAAGACGCCTTCCTCTCTTTCAGGCGTCTCCACTGCACACGCAATTACATCCACGTTCACCTCTTCGCCTCCTTCATCTGTCGAGCGGTCAGCATCTTTGTGAAGGACGCTGTGCTTTACTCCATATCTGATGGCAGTGAAGCTGAGCCCAACTTTACAGGACAGAAGCCCCATATGGTAAATTGTAACGTCGCATTATTTCTTATCACCAGTTATTCAGTTTTGTTCATTTTTTAAATACTTCATTGTGATCAAGACTATCGGCTGTATGGCAGTCAGCACGGTAGCGGTAGTTCACAATGGCATGGCCTGTTTGCAAAGCTAAACAAACCATATTTGCACATAAGCACTCAAAACACCTCATTCATATAAGAACTTTTTTTCTACACTTATCTAACATTCATACTCCGATGGATGCATCAGAGAGCACCGTGGGCTTAGTATCTTGCCTAAGCATGCTGGGTCTCTGACAGAGTGTTTTGACTTTGTTTTGGTCTTGGGATTCTTTCTTTTGGAATGAAGAGATTTTCATTAGTTTTCTGCATTAGTTACTTTTGAGTTCAGTTTTCCTAGTGCCTCTGAGTTTTTAGTATTTATACTTCCAGTTTCTTGTTTTTATCATGTGAATGCCTCTTTCCTGTCCAGTCTGTCCTAGTCTCATCTCTCATCTCTGTTTTCTTACTCTTACTCTTTCTTTCCGGTTATGTCACCGTGTTCGTCTGGTCTCTCTGTGTTTTGTCTTCATGGCTGTCTACAGTTTTTGTCTTGTCTATTTAATAACTTTGTAATCCTGTCTCTGTGTGCTCTCCATTTGTCTACCCAGCCTGTCATGTCTCCTTTTGAGTTTATCCCGAGTCCCAGTGTCAAGTTCACATGCCTTAGTCTGAGTCTCAGTGTGTGTGTGTGTGTGTGTGTGTGTGTGTGTGCGTGTTACTTCCTGTTTTATTTTGATAGTCCTCTGTCTCATATGTGTTATGTTGAGTTATGACGTCCTTGTCTTGTTAGTTATGATTCTGTTCCCATGCGTCTCCACATCCCTTAATCACACTCGTGTGTATTATTTGTCTGCATCTTCTTCTGTTCTTCATCACGTTCTCCTTCACTTTATGTGTGATCTCAATCAGTCACTTTTATCAGTTTCTACTCTGCCTAGTCATTGTTTGGCTTTTGTTTCCTCCACCTTAATAAAGTTGACATTTTGAGTTTAAATCCATCTGATCAGTCCTGCATCTGGGTCCACTCCCTGTTCGCCACACACTCATTACATGACAGTTACAGCACATTTCTCATTTCTTCATCCACAACAGGAATCCACCACCCACACCTGCTGCAATGGACTGAGATCTGGTGATTTGTGCCAAATTCTGACCCTACCACCACCTGCCCTACTTTTGTAGCAGCAGAAACCGAGACTAATCAGACCACACAACGTTTCAGCCTCAGTTTCATGTTCTTAGCTGACAGAAGTGCGGTGATCTTTTCTGGTGCCGTAGCCCAAGGTTCAACACGTGCCTTAAGAGATGCTCTTCTGCATACTTTAGTTCCCAGAGAACTGACCCTCAGTAGAAACTCAGAGATGGTAGTGTGGGAAATTCCCAGTAGATCAGCAGTTTCTGAAAAACTCAAACCAGCCTGTCTGGGACCAACAACCATGCCACATTCAGCTGCTCAATTTGAACTTCAGCAGGTCGCCTTGACCATGTCTACATCGTGCACTGAGTTCTCTCGTGAGATTGTCTGATTAGATTTTCGCATTAACAAGCAGGTGAACAGGTATACCTAACAAAGTGATCAGTGAATGTATTATCACAAGTTTTACTCATATTTTCTGTTTTTGTCATTAGGCTGGCTGTAAAGCAGCTGTTACTCTCTTCCTGTACTTCCTGGCAACAAATCATTACTGGATCCTGGTGGAGGGGTTGTACCTCCATAGTCTCATCTTCATGGCCTTCCTGTCTGACAAGAACTACCTGTGGGCCCTCACCATCACTGGCTGGGGTAAGTGACACTGGGGCAGGTGACACTTTGGACTAATGCCAGTTTTTCTAATAGTCCCATGTGCTCGTCATAGGTGTTCCAGCTGTGTTTGTGTCCATTTGGGTCAGTGCACGAGCTTCACTGGCAGACACTCAGTGAGTCATGTGATCCATTTATCTTATGTTTACGTTACACTCCTACAACAAATGCTCCCTGTAATAGATTCATTGCTCTTTCCAGATGCTGGGATCTCAGTGCCGGAAACTTGAAATGGATCTATCAGGTCCCTATTCTGGCTGCGATTGTTGTAAGAAAAGGGGATTTAAATCAGAAGAGCATTAAATACTGATATTCTGAGTATATTATTTTAAATCTGGATTTCGGTTTCTTTCCCTGCAGGTGAATTTTCTCTTGTTCATTAACATCATTCGTGTACTGGCCTCTAAACTGTGGGAAACCAACACGGGCAAACTGGACCCCCGACAGCAGTACAGGTAACCCTCCAAGGAAAATAGTGGATGTTTTTAATCTCTGGACTTTAAGCTCCCATCTGTTTGACAAGAAACATCAATGAAATAAACTCTTTGTTCTGCAGGAAGCTACTCAAGTCCACATTAGTCCTCATGCCTTTGTTTGGAGTTCACTACATGGTGTTCATGGCTCTTCCCTACACTGAGGTCACTGGGCTGCTGTGGCAGGTGCAGATGCATTACGAGATGTTCTTCAACTCTTCCCAGGTCAGGACACATTTATAAAAACAAGCTTTGCATGCAATTATATGCTGTAAGCTCAACTGCAATGATAATGAAAGCTGATTCTTTTGAATAAAATCTCATATCTTTGCAGGGGTTTTTTGTGGCGTTTATCTACTGTTTCTGCAATGGTGAGGTAATAAAGCTACAATACAGAATCGACTCATATTTATATATTTTTTTTATCTGGTATCAAAATAAAGTAACTAAAATTAAATAAATCTTGTTCCCAGGTGCAAGCCGAGGTAAAGAAGGCTTGGTTAAGACGTAGCCTGGTGCTAGACCTCAAGCAGAAAGCGAGGATCACCAGCAGCGGCGGAGGCAGCTGTTACTACGGCGGCATGATGTCACATACCACCACCCACAGCGTGTGCCTGTCTGCTGCCAATCCCAGAGCTCTGTCCTTTGCTGGAGGGGTGGTTGGCTCAGGTGGAGCCTCTGGTTCTGGGGTCAGACCCCCACTGCTACGTCAAGTTTCCACAACTCCCCCCCACCATCATACCAACCTACGTATTTACACTTCGACTGACAGCGAGGCCTCAGGCCCCCAGCAGGAGCTGGGTGTGTGGAAACCAGAAGGTGCTGAGTCAGGAGGTTTTGCCAGAAAAGCCAAAGCCAACAAAGGAGATGATGACCACAAAAGCCACAGAGAAGAAGATCTAATCAGCTCCTTATCTCCCAAAGAGCTGGAGACCATCTTGTGATTGCTGCTACTTTGAAATATCACGGCAAGCTACATGTTTTCTCATTAAGAGCACTGCTTTATGTTTTGTTATGTGTGTTTAGATGAGGATTTTGAGAAATAGGGGAATCCAAAGGCATCTTAATTTGGTGAAAGGGTGCTGAAAGACTTTAGTTACTATAGAAAAGCAAATCTGAGGACTAAGGCTGGGAAGTTTTTAATGGCTCAGAGCCACATAGAAAGAAATGCATGCATCCAATCCAATTCTGGCTTGTAATATGGCTAATCAGAGTTTGCTTGTTATATTTATAGTGGTAAGTGTCATGGTTGTGTGATAAAAAATAATGATAATAATACAATACTGGTCTCGATTTCAGGGATGCAACATCATAGTATCACATAAGCTGTCATGGTACAGTCGAGCATCCTTTCATAGGCTACCATTAGTAACTGGACCACAATTTAAGAACTCTAAATCTAAATTCTCATGTCATAAAGACAGATGTTTTTGTGTGTGGATGTGTTGTGGATTTTTCAAGCTGATGTGAACGGAGAAATCCTAAGCTAAAGAATTCAGAGAAGTCAAAGGACAGACCTGGATGTATAAATAGGGAGAATTTTTTCTCCCTCTTCTCGTCTTTCCTGTGTTGCATTTTTCACACTGACCTCCTTGTTCAAACTGCACTTCCTACAGCCCTTCCCTGCCTAAATGTACACCTCCACATATCAGCCACACATTAATGAGGGTGTGAACGCTTTTTACAATCCAAATGTCACAATGAGATTAGATTTAAAGGCACCTAGACAGCATGTCTGGACTTATTTTCATGTTTGTTGCTGTCCAGGTTTGCAGACCTATTTATCAGTCTGACAGGACCCTGAAGGCTGATGCGTGAACCTCTCGCCCCATGCAGGCAAAACTCCAACTCCTTCTTTCGTGTAACCTCTGCCCTGAACGCCCTCACAACACTGTCCAGAATTTCACACACTCCCCTCAATCTTTGACTCACAGACAGAGGCACCTGAGCCATTTGGAGACATGGAGCAGGAGTGACAAACCTCTAAGCCACAATCCACCGGCATTCGCAGAGAAACAGACAGAAAACCATACCTGTACATATTTTAGATGCCCATTAAAAGAGAATCATGTTCTGTGTTTATGATGTGTAAATTTAACACTTGTATTTTAAGAAATGTTTTGGTCTAGTTCGTTTACATAATGCCAAATCACAAATGTTGCCTCAAGATGCTTTACATTGTAGGGTTAAGACCCCCTACAATGAGATAACTCCGTTTCACCAAGCACTTGGCAACAGAGGGAAGGAAAAGCTCCCTTTTAACAGGAAGAAACTTCCAGCACAAAAATGCTGAGGGAGAGGAAGCTATCTGCCACGAGCAATTGGGGGTGAGGGGAGGGAGAGAAGACAAAAGACAAGCTGTGGTTGAAATATCTGATATGATAATAAAGCGATTATGGAGGATACTAGAATAAAGTCTCTGCTGAAAAGGTGATTTTGGGACACTGAGGGGAGTGGACAGCATGAAAAGAACATCCGACTCATTTAAGACATAAGAAATGTGCTTATTGTTTACAGTGAAACATAGCCTGCCATAGCCTTCAAGTACATTATTTCCAATATTATAAAGCTCTATTGTGTCATAAATATATATAATCCCAGTCAGTGGCATGTCCAAGATTTTTATTCCTCTGCCATACAATTTTATGGATTTAGACTTTTTACTTCAGTAAAAGTTATAAAGTCACATAGATTTATTCTGCACAAGTTGTATAATCAAAAATATATTCAGAGTAAGAGAAAATTTTCTCATGATGAACGGCATTTTTAGAATCATTATATACATGCTGCATCATTCATTTAGGCTATGCTTATGATTTTATTCATAACTAATGAATTTTAAATGAACTTTTTCACACATTTTGTGTTGTCAGACATGTGGAGCAGACACAGATCTGTGTCTTAGTCCAAGACCAAAACCTCCCAACCCCCACCCACCAACCAACCTGTGGTTGCTACCAGCTGTCGTTTCATTCGAGCAGATAGGTTTGGGGCCAACGTGTCTGCACCACTGCTGTGCTGACACTAAATCAGCTGAAAACACGAGCACTTTCCTCTAATAGCAAGAGCAGGGAAATGACGGGAGGATGTTGATTGGAAATTACGAGAGGAGGAAGTGAGCCAGCACGGTGACCGCAGTGGTGGTGATGATATCAGGTTTATTGTGCTACAAAGCTTTTACCAGGAACAGTTATTAAACAAGAAAAGAAAGAAATTTCAGTCTCAAATACATCCAAAACAATCTTTAAATAATGCAATATATAAAAGGTCCTAGCACATCTCTTATTCTATATCTATTTATAATAATATAGAAAATTATCATTTATTATTGATGCATAAATTAAACATACAGAAAAAATGAAATAAACTTTCAACGTGTATAAAATGTGTTATATGTTCAAAATACAAATTGATAAATTTAATGATTGTATTACTTTCCATACACAGTCTTAACAAATAATTATAATATTATTAATAATAATAAAAAATTTGCATTTCAATCACTATAGCAAATGAAATTTCCAAAATTGAGATAGAGCATTTGCTATCTTAAAGAGATAAAAATGATGAGGATTTTGAACAATAGGCTACATATATTGCAAATATAAATATTAAATATTAAATGTCTATTTTAGGGTTTTTTTGTAAAATATAAATTTGTAAGCACAAAACCAAACAAACAAACAAATAAATAATCCCTGGTCTTTATATATTATATTAAGCTCTCAAAGAAACTGCGTGTCGCTGGAGCCGGTGACGTAATTCGGTCCGCACGACACGAAACGATCGATTGACGGCATGATGAAGTCAGAAAAGTGGGCGGAGACAGAAAGAGGGGGCTCGAGCAGACACAATTCAGTCCCGTGAGCAGGTCACAGAAGTAAACATAAAAACAAAGCCCACGCTCCGCGCGCTCTGGTGTGTCTAATGTGTCGAGCAGTTTCCTCCGTCGTCTCACAAAGTGCCGCCGCTGTCTGTCAGCGGCTTTGACGCGGGCCGCCAGCATCCTCTCCGGCATCCACAAGTGAATGAGGAGGGCCGGTGGCCCACAGGGAGGGGTCGTTTGCTTCCAGGGCTGCCTCCTCCTGGATGGAGCAGGCAGCGATGGCCATGGGAGATGTCTCGAAAAAAGCATCGACTCGGAACCTCGCGGTGGAGAGGAAAAACCTCCTCACGGTCTGCAGGTGAGTGCATTATCCAACACGCCTTATGTTGTATATGGTAATGGACATTTTTAATGCCCTCAGTGCTGCATCAGACAGTGGCATCTCTATGTGACTTTTATCTTTGTCAGTGCAATTTTTATCCCAGTGCTGATGGTGTGGTCGCTATGACGACACCCTTCCTGGAGCAAGGACTAGCTGGCACCCTAGGGACTTAAGGCAGGATGGCAGTATAAGATCTTTACATAAAGTCCTGCTTGGATTTTGTGATTTTGGATAGAGATTTGTTCTTCAGTAGGCTTAAACACTGACCTGACGGTGCAGGCACATAATGATCTCTAACGATTATGCTTATGTAAAAGGACAGAGCATTTAGCCTGTAAGTCAGCAGGCATGCTTCCACTTCATCCAGCAGTAGTTGTGCTATCATTCAGCTCAGTCATGCATCAGCTTCAACGTAGATAGACATCCACAGCCCACAGCACATTTAAAGCTGCTGTGACTTAAATTTGGATTTTCCCAATGCATAAAATATTTTATATAATCTAAAAGGGGTCAGTTGCCACGGTGGACATAGGAGTGTTAGCTCACTTCAGCTCCACTGCATATTGCAGCTTCTTATATGTAAATTGAGAGCATTAAAGTCAGTAAAAAAAGGTTTAAAAAAAAAAAAAGTAAGCAGGACCTCTGTGAGCCAGTGACAGGTGAATCTAGGTCAGGTCCCCGCCCTGCTGTTTGTAATACACAGGAAATGCAGGGATTGTGCTCGTTTTGAGGATAGTCAGCCATTTATTATCCAGTTGATGCAGCTGAATGAAGCATTGTTGCCTTTGGAACAATGGGGAGTGAAATCACTTGCCTCAGTGGCTTGTGATAAGATAAGCATTGTTTATAGATGTGAACGTGGCCAGTAAAACATAAAGATGGTGACTCTGCAAAACATGACCAGTATTTAGCCATAATATTTTCTCTCTGTTTACAGGAGATGGTTAATTTCCTTCTCACGGCTCACTGCATATCTTACCGTCACTGGACAAATAGTATTTGACAGGTGTTCTTGTAGAAAATAGTCCTGCTGAATTATTTAGTGTCCAGGAAAACATTTAGTGGTCACTGCTGAAGAAATAATGGTGCTTAAAATAAACTGAAAATTCTTTGCCTGTGAACTTTTATATCATTTGTGGGTGTATATTGCTGAAAATATACACCCACAAATGCACAGTGCTGGGAAAAATATTTCACTACTTCCTGATTTCTTTTCTCTTTTTTTTTAATATTAGACAAAGATAACTTAAAAAATACAAAGTGAAATTCTGAATGATGATTTCCTTTTATTAAGGGAAAAAAATGCTGTCAATTTTCAGGACATAGCTTAGCCCTATGTGAAAGTGTAATTGTGAAGCTGGTTAAATCATGCATTTACTGTGATTATCCACATTTTTTGGAAAGCTGAGTTCAGTTTCGCTCACCATTGCAAGGTCTGATTACTGCATGACATGGTGAATCAAGAAATAACCTAAATATAAACATAAACCTGTCTGACAAATGGAAGCAGGCCAAAAGACGTCAAAAAGCAATCTTGCCACAATCTAAAGAAACTCATGAACAGATCAGAAACAAAGTCAATGTCAGGTCACAAAAGAACCCAGAACAACAGCTAAAGAACTTCAGGTCTCACTTGCTCCAGTTTAGGTCAGAGTTTATGATTCAACAATAAAAGAGCGACAGGGCAAACATGGCATCCATGGGAGAGTTCAATGAGAAACCAAAACTAAGGCTCGTCTCACAAAACATCTTGATGATCCCCAAGACTTTTGTGGAAACATTCTGTGAGATACAAGTTTAACTTTTTGGAAGGTTTGGGTCCTGTTACATCTGCTGTGAAACTAACATAGCCTTTCATGAAAAGAGTACATCGTAACAAGAGCCAAGCATGGTGGTGGTAGCGTGATGGTCTGGGGCTGCTTTGCTGCTTCAGGCTTGCTGTAATTGATGGAACCATGAATTCTGCTCTCTACCAGAAAATCCTGAAAGAGAATGTCTGAATGACTCAAAAACAAAACAAAACAAAACAAGAAGAAAAAAAGGAGGTTTTTGGAGTGGTCTAAAATAATCCAGACTTAAATTTGAGATGCTTTGGCATGACCTTAAACAGACCTTTGATGCTGGAAATACGTCCACAGCGATGTGAAATACTCATTTCCTGGTATCACAAACTTATGCTGTTTGTGTCATGGTCCGGAGTCTGTGGACTCCTTGTTTATGTTTAAATTTATTAATATTCTGTGGTTTTGTTTATTTTGGGTTGTTTGTGATTATCCCTAGTGTTGTGTGTCCTCTGTGCTCTCCTGTTCCATGTTTCAAGTTCCTATGTTCTGTCTCCTAGTCTGTTAGGTTTGCCTGTTTAGAGATTTATCGGTGTCTTTCCTGTTTTATTGTGAAGGTCCATGTCTCTTCTCAGTGTTTCTAGTTTCGCTTCCCCTTGTCTTGTTATGTCTAATTAATCCCAGCTGTGTCTCCCTCCTGTCTCCCATTCCCTGATTGCCCTGTGTGTATTTAAGCCCTGTGTTTTCTCGTGTGCGTTGCTGGATCGTCTGTGTATTGAAGGCCGATTACGTCACAGCCAGGCGATGAGGGCTGTCCCAATTCAAGGGCCGCTCCAAATGAGGCCCCGAAATCCGTCCTTCATTTTCCTGGATATGAAGGATGGGTCAGGTGTATCCTTCGTGGCCCAACCTATCCCAGAATTCATAGCGCAGCCCAGCCAATTCTAGTTTCCAACAATGGCGGCTTAGTTTTAATATTACTCTTTCTGGGTCACAAAATAAACTTTTAAGATATTTTCAGGCAAGAATGTAGCTGTGTAAACTTCAAATATCTGCTCGGTTTATCAAGACATCACATATTTGCAAAAGGGCTCTGACGTTTTCACAGATGTCTGTTACCCACTAGAGCCGTCGAGAACACCGAACTCCCGCCACATTTTCAGACCCTGCGTGGTCTTTCGCTACTCAGGTTAAACATATAAGTCACTTAGATAATGTAAAAATACTATTGTTTGGCTTTTTTCAGTGTTTTATTTGTTCCTTAGTAAATCGTTTTGGCTGAGATTAAAGTTATACTTTTCATGCAGCTGAATAAACGTCAAACAGAAAACTGATTAAACAGAAACGTGAGATGGTTGAGAATTTACTCCAATGTTCTGTTATATTTGAGGGAGCAAGGAGCAGACAGCTGAGTTTATTCAACTCCACCGAGACAGCTGGTGACGCAAATCCGTCCCATTTCACAGCCTCGCACTCAGACTTCGAAGGACCCGGCCCACGTAGACCATGATGGCCGGGTTCTTTGAAGGCTGTGGCCTAGGAGTTGGGACACAGCTACTGTTATGCTAATGCTAGTTGATGTTATTAATATTGTTAATGCTAATTAGCATTAGCAACAAAAAGCAGCTTGCTAATATCTGTAATATCTTGTTCCCTTGAGTTTTAATAACCCTCTATTTTCTCCAAAGTCTTTGTTTTTACAGTGTAATGAAATAAGAAACAAGCTCAATGTACAAGAATCAAAATTAAAACAGGATAATAGGGTAAAGTGGATTAAAGTAGTTGCATGCCATGGAGACTAGATGACGCGGATAAGTGACCAGTGACTCAGCTAAAAGTTTTCCCCATACGTCACCACAGTTATCAAGATTTACAGCCAAAATTTAAAAGTATGATATTTATGAAATTATGGATAAAATCTTGCCAAATGATTTATGATTATTATCATTATTGAGTTATGTCTCTCTGAACTAATTTTATTTGTACAAATCTTCAACACACACAAAAGTTAAAGGGTTTTCACAGGAAGATCCTGGAAGTCAGGAATGTATTACGGGAGACTTATGTCATCAGCTGAAATTATCTAGTACAAAGGAAGTTGTTGGAGTTTCCTGAAAGTGCTCGATGAACATATTCCTCACAGTAAAAGGATGACATCAGACTGAAGTGTAGAAATGAGACTCTGCAGGAAATGGAAGGTACATTGTCAGAGATCACATAATTACATCCACACTCAAATGGGATGGAGATACGCTTGTACAATTTCAAATAGTTGAACTCTGTGCTCTAACCCTGATTATAATTATGGGAAATCAGATTAGTAATGGTTGATTGATTGATGACGCAGTCCTGATACTATAACCTAAGGAATATTGCGGGAATTCGATCAATATTGAGTTTTAGTGACACTCTGACTATTTTGCTTTTTATGCTTTTATTTCCTCTTTGTTAGACTACTGTACTGGTCTTTTAACAGATATCAATCAGAAAGCATGAAATAGACTTCAGACTATGCAAAATCAGCTGCCAGATTGTTACCAGAACCTTGAAAACTGAACACATCTTACCCCAGTGTTGATGACTCTACACTGGCTGTGCATTTCTCTAGGAATTGATTTTAAGATTTTACTTATTACATTTAAAGTCCTTCATTGCCCAGCATCAAAATATACAGTCAAACTGCAGTTCTTCTACCAACCAGTGCTCAGCTGAGATCCTTGGTCTGAAACCCATTAACAGTTCCCACCTCACATGTAAAGACACAAGTCGATTGAGCGTTTGAATGTTTGCTGTTGGGGCTCCTCGATTGTGGAATGACCTGCCTGAGAGAATTCAGCTCACCTCATTAGTGTCTTCTTTTAAGATTCACCTTATTTTATTTTGATGTTACATTTAAGTCTTGTGTTTTAATTGATATGTAAATTCCATCCATCGATCTATCCATTTTCTTCCACTTATCCGGGGCCGGGTTGCAGGGCCAGCAAATTAAGCAGAGAAGCCTGGACCTCCCTCTTCCCGGCCACCTCCTCTAGCTTGTCTAGTAGAACACCAAGGCGTTCCCAGGCCAGCCAAGAGATGTAATCTCTCTAGCATATCTACCCCAGGGTCTCCTCCTGGTGGGACATGCCCAGAACACCTCACCTTGGAGGCACCCAGGAAGCATCCTTGTCAGATGCCTACACCTACACTGGCTCCTTTTGATGTGGAGGAGTAGCAGGTTTACCCGTCCCAGATGGCTAAACTTCTCACCCTATCTCTAAGGAAGAGGGCAACCACCCTTCAGTGAAAGCTCATTTCCACAACTTTTATCTGTGATCTCATTCTTTCGGTCACTACCCAGAGGTCATGACCAGGTGAGGGTGGGGACATAGGTCGACCAGTAAATCGAGAGCTTCTTTTTTACGCTCAGCTCTCTTTTCACCACTACGGACCAGTACAGTGTCCGCTGATATGTTCATTGTTTTGTATAATCTCCTCCTTGTTTGTTCTGTTATTCTGTGTTTCTGGGAAGTACTCTGTAACTCTAGTTTTGATAAGTGCTGTAAAAATAAACTATTATTAAGCTGTATCATACATAATTACTTTATGCCCTGCCCTAACAAGCTAACACCACCCAGATATTTTGCTTTTATGAGTTTCATTGACCTTTGTTAATTGTACAGTACAGATTACAGCATGAGTTTTGAACAAGGAAACCTAGGATATTTATGGAGACAAGTTATCTCTCTTATCTGCCATGGTCACAGAATACATTTAGACCCTTGTGTACAAAACCTAACTTGTACATTAGCTTGTGGTATATCTGAAAGATTACGTGTTGACAGAATAGGACAACGTGGAGTATTTTGTTCAGTAAGGTCAGTCTGACACCGAGATCAGAGTCTTAAAATGTTCCCATTGTTGCCATTTTACCATTCACTGATCACACAAGTACATCACATTTATGACACCGGATCCAAAAATTCACATAACAACATATATATTTAACCATTTTTCTTCAAATATAGAAAGTAACTTTCTTACACATTAAATTGTTATCATACAGAGACAAGAGTTCAGCTTCCTATAAAAACAGCACAGAGCTCTGTAGTCTGGGGAGAATTGTGTGATTTTTCAGTGCTTACTATTTACTCTATATTCTGCCAAATTAAGCAAGCAATTTGGCAGAAGATAGAGCGATTCCACAGTCTTATCATCTCCTGTTTTCTCTACACTGATCCAAGGATCCATCCCGTGTCATCTGGAACAGCCATCACAAATTTTTGAACACAGAAAAATAAACGTAGAGCGCAATACTGTACATAATCTGCTCATGTACATTCTTTAAATCTGTGCATATTCCTGTAATTTGTGTTTTTATGATATTAGAAATCATGTAAGAAAATGAATAGTCTTTCTAATTGTACTCATTAAAAAATGTTCAGTCTGTTTTTTAGGGTTAAACCTAAGAGCTAACTAAATGTATCACAGTGGCAGAACACTGTGTTCTTTCGCGACTGCATCCTTAAACAGACTTGTGTGGTTTATCAAGTGTGATTCACAAATGTTTAGCAATAGTTTGATGTACGACATGTTCTGCCTACTGTAAACTGAAACGAAGACAGCGGTAACCCATCAGCGTTTTTCCTGACTAATCTTTTCCCTCTATGCTTGAATAAGTGCTCGAATAAGTGCTCTCCTCGCTCCTCTCCACCACACACAGGTTTTCAGTTAAGACCCTGCTGGAGAAATACACGGCCGAGCCCATCGATGATTCATCAGAAGAGTTTGTCAATTTCGCCGCCATCCTTGAACACATCCTCAGCCACCGTTTCAAAGGTACTAAACTGAGGAGATAACATACTGGGGCTTAACGTCCTGTTGAATCAAGGCTCTTACAGTGTTTACTGAAACTTTTCTGTCCTGTTTAGCAGCTTCGGCAAGCAGAACCATGTTGTTTTATTATTCGCAGTAATATATGTGTAGTGTAACACTTCACATGCTTGTTGTGTCAGGCTCTAGTAGCTGGTTCGATGGTCAGAGGAGTTACTGGGACTATATCCGCCTGGCTTGTGCTAAAGTCCCCAACAGCTGCATTAGCAGCATTGAGAGCATGGAAAACATCAGCACCTCACGAGCCAAGGCAAGACCAGCATACGATGACAAAAAAAATTACAAATAAATAAGAATATGTAGATTTATTGGGACTAATTTAGAAGTCATTTTTGTGACTCTCCAGACTAATTTCTTTAGCTTTGGTGTTCCTTTCAGGGCCGAGCCTGGATGAGAGTAGCTCTGATGGAGAAGAGGCTATCTGAATACATCGCCACTGCTCTGAGGGACAGCAGGACAACCAAGTTAGCACCTCTCTATATAATAAAAATCACTTGATCCTCGTACAAACATGTTCCCACCTAACTGCACTTGTCTTTGTGCTTTAGGAGGTTCTATGCAGAGGGAGCCATCATGTTAAGAGAAGAAGCTACAGTGCTAACAGGGATGCTAATAGGTCTTGGAGCTATAGACTTTAGGTGGGGCGTCCTGACTTTTAGATATCAGACTGATACTTTTAAAATCCTTATGCATGTATAAAGTTTCTAATTTCTGATTGGTTTGTCTCCCTCAGCTTCTGTTTAAAAGGGGAGGCCCTGGATGGGAAATCTCCTGCAGTGATTGACTATACTCCATACTTGAAATTTACACAAAGGTACACCAACCTTCATGTATTTCAGAGACACTTTGAAAGTTACAGAAACACCATTGCACAGCCCATTCAAAGTCAATAAGATACTGATACTGGCTGCTTGTGTCACAGCTATGATTACCTGAGCGATGACGATGATCGGCAGAGTGTTGACAGCAGCGCGAGTGACGACAGCGTCCCTGAACATCCTTACATCCCCCTGGTCACAGACGAGGAGAGCTGGAGCACAAAGTGTCGCAAGATGGAGCAGAGGTTCAAGATTGTCAATGCACAAAAGGTGGGCGGACAGACATGATGTGTTTCTATCGCTGTTGTTTGATCTAAATCTAAGGTTAATAAATGCAGATAAATACGTTCATCGTTTCATGACTCTATTAATCTGTCAGTTAATAACAAAGATTATACTGCGGAATCGTTTCTACATTACTATGACCGTTCACAGATGGTTGATGTCTAATATGAGTATCCGAGGGTGAATGTGTTTTTTAAATTTTGGCTCAGTCTGAATGTGTGTTGTCAGGGTTACCTGGAGGAGCTTGTGCGTCTGCGTGAGTCACAGCTGAAGAACACAGAGATGGAGAACAAGAGGCTAAAGGCCCGGCTGGAGGAGCTGCAGACCCAGAGCCAACAGGAGAAAAGGGAACTAGAGGCCATTGTCTTGGAGCTTCAGGAGCAACTGTGAGTGAAACTCACAGATGGCTAGCATGTTTAAGCAAATAGCTTTAACACAATGCCAGCTTAACTGATGAACACTCTTCACTGCAGAGTACAGTGGACTGTGTTTGCTTTTCAGTGGTTCTATTGTTGGGACTTATGTTTTACCCTCACATGTCTCAGGACAAGCTTGATTCCGTGTGACTCCAACCACTTGGCGAAAAACCTCTCAATCCCACTCGTCAACCAGTGGCCAACGCTCGAGCCGTTCGACAGCCAAGAGGACTTGAAGCTGTTTCGCAGGTTTGCTACAGGCAGCATGGTTACTTTGTCTCGTTGTTGCAATTTGACAATATGCACAAACGCTGTAATAACAATAATATACACCAGCCAGTCGCATTTTTAAGTTACACCTTGCTAGTACTGGCTGGGACTTCCTTTTGTCTTCAGAACTGCTTCAGTTCTTCACAGCATGGAATCAAAAAGTCCATCTGCTTCAAGGTTAGACACGTTGTTCACTTTTTCAGACCATTCTCCTAAACTCTACAGATGAGGAAAGACATCAGAGGACGATATTCAAACGTCTATCGTTCCATGTTATAGGCTATCGTTTATTTGTTTTAATTGACGGTTTGCAATAGTCACCATGGCAACACAGAAGGACTAACCAAAACAAATCGAGGAGCTCATTCCTAAACAGGCAGCTACTTTTGTAGCTGCAACAACAGATACGTGGACGAGCCGAACAACATTCCTGTATGCGCTTAACGGTGCGCTTCCTCCGAGACTGGACACTCTGCAGTAGATGTTTGCAGACAGGCTGGTTTCCATACAGGAACAGCAGTGATACCCGGTGGCCTCAGGGAAGCTCTTGCGTGACTCTGAGGTCATCTAGTTAGTATCGCTATTGGATAACACTGCGTACGGCCCATATTTATTTCATTTTTAATTATTTGATTTAAATGTGAAAAATAAATAGTACTCTTGATGGACAGATTATATAAACTATTCACTAAATTTACAGAAAATGCACTATATTGTGGTATATATCATCAGTTGTGTGGGGAAATCCCAGCAGATCAGCAGTTTCTGAAATACTCTGGCATCAGGTGTGCCACGTTCAAAGTTTGACCTCCCAGCCCATTGTTCCCTTAGTGGGCTGGTTTCAGTCATTATGCAAATGTACTCTTTATAAGATTGGGGAAACCTGCAGTCAGCTGAGACTGAAGAAGTCACTTTATGAGTGACGAAACGTTTCTCCCACTGAAAACGCTACGTCCAGATGAACAGAATCAACCTCTGGAGACGTTCAAAGTAATTTAAATCACCTTTCTTCCTCATTCTTATTCTCAGTTTGAACTTCAGCACATTGTTTTGATCATGTGTACATGCTTAATTGCACTCACTTGCTGCCATTTGACTGGTTTATAAAATAATTGTGTTGATTAGCAGTGCACCTAATGAAGTGGCTGGTGGGTGTATAATATTGTTCAATCAAAGATCAGACAGCACTTAGCAGTTTGTGTAAATCACAAGCAAAAATCAAATGGCGTAGTTATGTCCATGTAAACCTGTATAGAAAACATTTTAATTTTTTAATTCAAAATTTGAACCTGGTTTGAGCCATATATAAATATTTGCCTTGTTTTCTCTTTCAGGAGGAGTTTTCCAAGCACAGAGCTGCTGTCAGTGGAGGTCAGCCTGGATTCTGACTCTCAGAGGACTCATGAGAAACAGAATGGGAGGGCCTGGTGCACAGGTGACAACTCAGACACACAAGCGATTAAACATGTGTGTACAGTTAAACTGACCCTCCCGTTATATGTTTGTCCCACCCTCCCAGAAAAGGACTACACCCCCTCCATGATGGGCCTGTGTGGGTCCTTGGCGTCCTTCCCAAGCTGCAAATCTCTGACTAGCCTGAAGTCCAGCGAGTGCCTGGTCAACATCAGCACAGAGAACAGTCCTGCCCTCTCTCCCAGCTAGGGGGCACCAAAGAAACACTGCCAAGAAACATTAAGACGCTCCGGCGTGAAAATAAAACGACTGTTCTCGGTGGGCGGACAGATGCTTGACAGACTTGAGTCCCTTTACTTTTAAAACCCAGCACTCTCTCAGCTTACACCTGTTGTGGAAGAGCAGCCTGCACGCTCTCTGGGCTTGTGCAGCCAAGATACAGGAGCAAGCTGCCGCACTGCCTCATGGCCTCCTACAGCGTCATTGCCTTTCATTGTCGTGACATCATTAAGCCTCCTGCACTGTAAAGCAGCTGGTTTAAGTCTGACCCTCCTTCACTTACAGTCACCCATCTGAACCGGTCACCTTCATCGAAGCTCGCTGTAGGGTCGTTCTGTGTGTCGCTGTCCTTTTGTCTGTGTCTTATCGATCTGTCAGCCTATCTTACTCTGCCTGTTGAATAACACTCACAAGATGGGTGAGCTGCTATATCCTTATGGAGAAACAGCCCTATTATATACTGTTACAGGAGCATGAAAAGATTTTAGAACAGAAGCTTTTAATGTGGCGAGTCAGATGGTTTATGATGAAGATTATTTAAAAAAATAAATAACAGAAGCTACTTTATGATATTAAAATCAATGACAGTTTAGACCTTATTCAATCATACGCTAGGTTAGACACACAGGCTACAGAGATGCCACAGTGTGAACATTAAAAAAAAACAGAAATCTGTTGCATACAAACGCAGAGTTTATTGTGACTATGCAGAATGAGTGTTGTCCTTGTCTTTTTCTACAAACCTAGCTTGATAGAATAGTTTGAGCAGGAGAGAAATAGTGAATGTGCAACATGCGTATGCCATTTTTTTTCTTTCTGTGAGCTTTCCTTTTCTGTTACAGTTACGTCCACGACATACTCACCTGTGTCAGTCACACATGTGTAAATTGCTTTTTAATGCGGCGTTTTTGAGAGTTGGGAAACGTTTAAAACTGCAATAAAACTGCCTTTTTTTGAAACATTAAATGTGCTTATGTATTTAATGGATATACCATCAGCATATCTACCGCTTCGATCCAGGCTGAAATCGCTCAGTTCCTATCCTATGAGAATAGTTCCTCTAAGCACTACAGCTAATCCTCAGGGATGCTTTCTGTTGCGCCACCAGCAGGTCAGAGTTTTAAATGGCGAGTGAAGAATCTATAATCTATTAGATGGACTGTCATAGCATTTTGTACAGACATTAATCAAGGTGCTGGGATTATCTACCACACTGTTGTACATTATCCCCTGATTTATATAATTACTAAGTACTTTTGCATGAATTGTTCTTTTAGCTTCTGAGTTCTCCCAAATATTTTGTAGCACCATAAGGTTGACAAATCTGATCTCTGATAAAATTTGGACATCATGATATCGTGTTACCTAGACTTTCCTGCACATATTGTCCATGATCTGACTGCACTTAGACTACACCTATCCAGTGACATGTTGATTTTGGCATAATGGGTTGTTTTAATACTCAGACACAAATGGGGGAAAAGAACGTACATATCATAAAAAAGAATCTGGTCCTTAGCAGGTCTTAAAATTGGGTATATACAACCTCATGTTAAACCCACAGCAGGTTACTAGCAATAACAAAAAACTTTTTTCAATGAAAATTAAGAAAAACAAATCTTTTTTTCACAGTCAGTCGCTCCCCAATCTCAACAACAGACCAATGACCATTTCACTGCAACCAATCAAAAGCACACTAAGTGATCAGACACCATCAATGAGTTCCACACCTAATTAGTTTTACTGTAGCCCATGAAAAACAGAGACCAGGCTGAATAAAATCAATAGGATTTGTAACGAGGAAGCAAGCATATATTCAAGAAATGGACAGACAAACAAAAACAAGAAAAAGAAAAAGAACAAAAAAATGCCCGGTCCATCCCAAAGGAAGCAACCATTGTCCATACAGGCTCACTTGCCAGGATGGACCAAACAAACAAAAAAAAAACAACAAATAACAATACCCCATGGTTGGAACAGCTAGTGGATCACTGCTGCTCTGGTAAATCAATCTACGCCCTTGGCACCTTCACTTCCAAAGGTGCACAGGTTAGTGTTCCTCCACCTGCACACCTGATCCCGACTCACAAAACACATCTGTAACCCCCTGTAGTTGCTTGTATATATGCACAAAACTTCTAATTAAGGCACCTCCTCTGTTTTCCTTCAATACCAGCTGTCACACACAGGTAAACAACTGAAATGCAAAATCAATGTGAAAAACTGAATACACCCTCATGAGTTACCTGCTTTCCACAGGAATTAAGAGGGTAGGTGGCTGCTAATTAATTGCACTTCACTAACTCATCAGCAGCAAGTATGAGCACCTCTACTGCAATTTGCTGGTCATGAGCATTCAGGCTGTGGACGTGCCGACAAATTCACCTCTTGGTCAGAGAAACTGGAAAAAACCACAGAGCTACATACACTCTACTGTCCTCAGTTTGTATGATAAATGTTAAAGTTCTTTACAGTTAAATTAGAAAAAGACTGAACAAATATGGCTTGTTTGGAAGGATTTCCGGGAGAAAGCTTCTTTTTTCTATAAAGGACAGAGAATAGTCATTTTCTCCTGGTTTGCAGAGTTGAACAAACCACAAGTCTTCTAGAACAATTTCCTTTTAACAGATGAGACCAAAGTGGAGATGTTTGACCATAATGCACATTGGCACGTTTAGTGAAAACCAAACACAGCATATCAGTACAAACACCTTATGCCAACTGTTAAACACAGTGGTGGAGGGGTGATGATCTGGGCTTGTTTTGATTTAAAATTGGAAAAATTGGTGTACTTTCATTTTCACACTCCCTCCACATAAGCTGATATCACAGCTGATTATTTTACTAAAGGTCTAAGAAGCCTCCCTGTCATCACCCTCGTCCCCCTTTGGCCTGGGTCACGCTTTGTTCTCATGTTTTCCCCTTGAGACCTGACTTTGTGAAGCATGACATCGCCTCTCTTTAAATTAGTTTGAGATAGCTCACATGAGGTCAGAGGTTAGGCTCATTTATTCATTAACACAGACAAATACACAGAGCTGAGCAAACAGGAGCTGGAAGTCCTTTGGTAAATGTTGGAAAAGCATTACGTGGAAGACGCATTCCAGGTCGACATACTGTCCAATTAACTCCCAGGCTGTAAATGAATGGATGCCTGTGGGGTGGTGCTACGCTGTGTTTAGTTATTTGTCTTTGTCTTTGGTGGTTTTGTGAGAGTGACATTAATTGCTGGAATTTATACTAGACAGATGAGCATGCTGTAAACACATGGTTTAACGCTTCATCTTTCTGTGATAAAGCCCTCTTAGTCCCATTCTGGTGTCCCGGCAAGCAAATGTGTTATCTAAGCACAGGGACAGGGTCCCGTGTAAGACACGCATGTTTCAGGACAGTTAGCTTTTGCAGAGGGCGCCGGATGGTGAGTCTTACACTGCTCTGGCTTCTAAAAGTGGCATTTTGTTATCTCAGCCCTCTTCTTCTGTCCCACCATCGGCACTCCCTTTTTACACAGTCAGGATATTTATCTTCCACAATGCACACTGTCTCATATACGCACACACATACGCACCCACACCACCCATAACCACTTCACAGTCCACCCAGATGGTGCACACACACCCAGCTGGGCCTCAGGATTGCATGAAGGGGAAATTAGTCTACAAATAAACAAATGTATGAAGTTGATGATGAAATATTTAGATGACCGCTCCGGGGGGAGTTTGCATGTTCTAGCTCATTTAGTGCAGATAACATGGACTTTATACCAGAGAGAGCTCTGCGAACCATGTCACACTGTTGGAATTTGTTTGTATTTCTCCTACGTTTATTCATCCATTGGTGTTGGTGCATTTCTTTTTTTTTTACATTGTGTGTATTTAAAAACAATCTCTTGAAAGTTTTCTTTAATTAGCCAAGTCTTGCTTTTTTGGTCAAATAACATTATTGGTAAAGGCTAATGCAGCGTAGACCCCAGAGAAGTGCTGCTGTAAGAAAGAAACTAGCAAATTCGCATGAGGTTTATGATTTTTACATATGATAAATTAAGGAAATCAAGGATGTTACAGCAATATTATTTTATTGTTGTACTGCAATGAAGCAAACCAGTGGAGGAGAACACAAATATGTCAAAATAACATGAAAATCAGAGCTTCAGGGAACAGAAACAATGACTCTAATGTATGTGCATAATGACCGATCAAATAACAGCATGATCTTAGACAGGCTCTCCTGACCTACAGTTTCTCTCAGCTAAATACCGGCCATTTTTTCTTCCAGTAGAGCGAACGGTGGTGATTGTCGCTGCTGTCTGCATTCCACCTGATCCCAGGGTTTAGCAGGAATTCCTGCAAAACAGACTGCAGCTTCACCCTGATGGCATCAGACAACCCTCAGCTCAGTACTTCTTGGATTCATTTACATGTGTACTGCCTGATTAGGGCAGAAAATACATTTGATCATGTTTATTCAAATATCACTAGCTGCCCGATGCGCCGCCCAGCGTAGGAGGAACTAAGTGTGTAATTCAAATATCAAGCATTCATATAAAGCCATACCCCTCCCCCAGTAAGACCAGTCAGACCACGTCTCTCTTCACCTCTGCTTGCAACGCCCTCTCAGGCAAATGCCCCCCCCCCCCCCCCCCAAAAAAAACCAACAACAACAAAACAAAAACAAAGCCACAACTGAAGACTATTGAAGACTATCAAGCCTGACTTCAGAAAGCCCTCTCATAATTACCGGACTGTTTTGAACACACTGTTTGGGACATATTTGAACATCAGCTGAACACACGGAGTCGGTTCTGTTCTGCATCAAGTACTGTGCTAATAATACCGCTGCCAGAAAACCTGGATGACAGGGAAGCTCAGGACTGTCTTCAGAGACCGCAGCTCTGACTGTTAGATCAGGTTGCAGAGCTCTGTACAATCCTGCTAGAGCTGAGCTGGAGAGCGGGATAAAAGAGGAAGGTGGAAGATCACCTCATCCACTTGCTACAGGGGCTTTGAGGCCTCACACAGCACTCAGTGTCAGCCTCTCAGTCTCCCCAGACTCCAGAGCCCAGGCAGTCACCTTACAGCAACATCAAGTGAGGCTGGGGCACAGGTCAGTGAACACAAGGAAGGCCTCTGATCCTGACTGGATTCCTGGGAAGGTGCAAACAAGCATGTGCAGATCAGCCATCACAAGCGCTCATCCCAACCTGTGTGAAGTCTGCAACAGTCGTTCCTGTACCCAAACTAATCAGCCACTGACTGTCTCAGTGCTTACCACCCAATAGCACTTACAGCTTTGTCTTTAGTAGTTTTAATATATATTACTTTTTTATATTTACAGTGTAAATGACTACATGTTTGCGCTTCATTTCTCTTTGCATCTGAAGGTGGAGCTGCTCTGCAGTGACATTATTCAAGGTATAATGAAAACTACAATAAAATTTACATAATTTGGAGGAGTGAGAAGCAACTATGTACATTTCAGTGGCCCTCCCATAGGCGTACTTTACATTATTATTTCCATTTTGTGTTATTTTATACTTCTACTTCACTTGGAGCCAATTTCTTTCATTAATGAGCTACTTTTATTTTTTGGGAGTTGTAGATATAGTAGTGCTGCAATGACTCTAAGTACTTCAACGCATTTTCTTTTCAGCTTTTATGCCATTTGAATCAATGGCCTTATTTTTACAACAGCAGGTGTAATAACAAACGAATGTTGCTCTTAATTAAGAGAGTGCTCTGTAGATCTTTCTACACAAGTAATGTTTACTTGCTAGGCCAGAAAAGCCACTAGCATGGCCCTTTAATACATGTAAACTACTGCAGCAGCTTTAAAGTATGCTGATTCATGTGTCAAGGTATAGCTACAATAGTCGGTTTTCTCCTTTAAAAAGGTTTAAATTTGTTTTTAAAACACGAATTTAACATTAAAAAATAAGCTAACCTCAGATATGAATTTGGGGGCGGGGACACCAAACTTTATGGGCCTAAATATGAGGGATTGATGGCGCACTGACAAATAGGATTGAAATCTGAGGCTTCCCGACCAATCAGAAAGTGAGATCTGGGAGCAGGGTCCGCCCACACACGTAATTAAATCCACACCAGCGTGGTGCTGGAACTGTTTGGAGTTTGCGTTGAAACAAGAACGCAGAGGGCTAGGGAGCTGTGCTCAGCCTCGCATCCTTCACGGCCACCTTTAAAAAGGAGAGAGAAAACAAACACGCTCCAGCCCGGCAAGTTGTAATGAAACACACTTTAAAGTTGGCTCGGAAGCCGTGGGAGTTGACGTAAAAGTGACTTTTTGAAACTGGAGCTGCTTCCTCCTTCGACAACGGGGTGAAATATCTCAACATCCTCACAAAGAAACTTTGCTTGCTAGGCTGCTAACTCGCCACACAAGCCAGCAGCAAGGAGACCAAAAAAAGTATGCTCAGCGGCGAAGACGAGAACACAAGCTCGTATTGACGTTTTACTGGTCGAGTTATAGTGGTATGTGCTCGGACATGGCCTCTGAATGACTCGCCTTCAGTTTTCTAACGGTTTTTCTTCGAGTAGTCATCACCAGCACCAGAGGAGAAAGAGCCGCAGCTGGTTAACTTTAGCCAGCCACCACCATCACCAGAGCGCCCCCACATCTCTACCAGGCAGGACAGCCACAGCTAATAACAGTCATTTAGAGTTAAGTGGACCCAGATTTGACACTGTAAAGATGTCCGGTCGAAGTGGAGCTGGACACACGAGGGGTGCTGCTTTGGGTCCACAGCCGCTGAAGGCAACTGTCCCATATCAGCTGGCCAGCAAACCGAGACCCAACAGGATAG